AACAACAAAAAATTGTATCTAGTTTAAGCTGACAGGTTTTGATGGGGATTTTTTTGTTATGTAACTTAGATATGTCAATCGACACTAGAGGGTTAACCTGTCTCCTCCCCCTCATCTACACTGATTGAAGTGGATTTAACAAGTGACATCAATAAGGGATCATAGCGTTCAACTGGATTCACCTGGTCAGTCTGTAATGAAAAGAGCAGGTGTCCTTAATGTTTTGTACACTCAGTGTACATGCATATATTATTACCAACCTCTGGGGAATTAGACACAGGTCCTGGTGCAGCCCAACCTCCAGCTCCAGCCCCAGCCCAACCTCCAGCTCCAGCCCCAGCCCAACCTCCAGCTCCAGCCTCAGCCCAACCCAACCTCCAGCACCAGCCCAACCTCCAGCTCCAGCCCCAGCCCAACCTCCAGCTCCATCCCCAGCCCAGCCCAGCCCAGCCCAACCTCCAGCTCCAGCCTCAGCCCAACCTCCAGCTCCATCCCCAGCCCCAGCCTAACCTCCAGCTCCAGCCTCAGCCTAACCTCCAGCTCCAGCCTAACCTCCAGCTCCAGCCTCAGCCCAACCTCCAGCTCCAGCTCCAGCCCCAGCCTAACCTCCAGCTCCAGCCTCAGCTCCAACTCCAACCCTAGACCCTCCCCTAACCCTAGCCCCTCCCCTAACCCAACCTCCAGCCCCAGGCCCAACTCTAGGCCCAGCACTAGCCCAACCTCCAGTTAAAAGCCCAGGCCCAGCACCAACTATAGGCTTCACTCAGGCCCATCTCCAGCTCCAGCTCTAGGCCCAGCACCTCCCACAGCTGCAAAGATATATTCTAAAATCAAACAATTGCTCCATCTTTTCATAATCAGCAGACACATTGACCCAGAAAAAAACAATAACAAGTGGTGGGTGGCCATACATAGCAAAGCCCAACGTTGACCTAAGTGAGAGCAGTGGCCACAATTGGTATCTGTTCAAAGAGATTGTACTCATTGTCTAAAGTAATGGGTCAAATCACTGCCTGTACTGTACATGTCAATGTTGTTCATCTCATGACCAAGACATTACAATTCTGCATTGAAACATTGTAGAGAGCATTGCATCTTACTTATTGTGAACTTGATGCCACTGCCTGCCTCCAAAATGGCAGATAGTTGGTCCATGCCATAGGCTTTTTTAAACTATCCCACCTGGCATGCCCTCTACTTCAATGACCACCTTCTTGGCAGCCACAGTCATTTTTGGAACTCTGCCCTGTCCACTTGCTTCATCTAAACATAAACAGAAAGAAGGCTTTAGTGAAGGACGATCAAGTGTACACATTATTCCAAGCTTCTATCAGTGATCCAGAACTCAAGAAATCTGCGTACTTGAATATCAACAATGTAAACCAACAAGGCACAGCTACCACATATGTTTTTATAAATCAAATGTCAGCCATTGCATCCAGAACACTGCCTGTGAATTTGAGTGGTTACATTTTTCAAGCTTGCTTAAAAGCAGCGCAGGACCGTTATTTAATCACATATATACAGTACATTTTAATAGTTATTTCAAATAAAATGATACATACTATACTTCTGGTTGAATAAGGCTTGTAGCCTTTGACTGTGAAGCTGCAGGTTGGCCTAGATGTCACAATAAAATAGGTACAGTGCTGTATGAGTGTGTTTAAAGGCATTATAGATGTACAGATGTAGGATCTTAATTTGAGTCAGTTTGATACAGCAGGAAAATAATCCTGCAGCACAGGAAACGTGAGTTATGTGGATTATAATAAATTGACATTTTTGTCAGGGTTGATAAATTTTTCGTAAGGGAAAATCAAGTCTAAATTTAAAAGTGGAAATTACAAACTTCAGGAGCCTTTTCAAACCTCAAATACACTACAAGTAAAAAATGTCCTGCATTTAATAAAAGTTGTCCTGCAACAGGGTGATCAAATTAAGATCCTACATCTGTATGCTTAAGGTTAAGCGTTACCAAAGTTATTTTAAAATATGTTTACGAGAAAAGTGTACAGAAAACTTTGCAATCAGATCCTGGCCCTCAACAAATTCCCCTCCCAGGTGAGGCTGTGCTGACTGGTATGGGGTCCTCCTGTAGCTCAGTTGGTAGAGCATGGCGCTTGCAACGCCAGGGTTGTGGGTTCGATTCCCACGGGGGGCCAGTATGAAAAATGTATGCACTCACTAACTGTAAGTCGCTCTGGATAAGAGCGTCTGCTAAATGACTAAAATGTCAAATGTAAATGTCCTCGAGGTTGTGGACAAGGAATTCTGTAGAAATAGACACAATAAATAATAAATGAAATTATATGTAAAAAAGACAATACCTAAAAATAGGAAAAGAGTTGGTGTGAAGACTGAAATCCTTCCATAAGAAAAATGCCTGTTCTCTGTATCTTAAATCTCTATCTCAAATCTAACTCCAACTATCAAATCCAAATCCATTACTTTTTTTAAGTAAAAGTTTCTGAATTTCATTATTTACTATTGTGACCCTATATATTCCCACCATTGATTTCAGCCGTCTTAAATAATCTTTGACTTTTAATGCCTTCAGGTTCCCCTTCAACTCCTGACCTCCTGCCTGTAGCTTGTCTGCCTCCTCACTGTAATGGGCTTTTGTGGCAGATGGTAATGCCTGCCATTTGCCCTGTGTACCTGCCATAACTCCTGCCATACAACAGAAAACATGACAATGTCAGGCATTACAACAACAAAACGATTTAGCTGTAGGGAGCTAGTGAAGAACTTTGATCAAAGATTTAACTAAACCAAGATAGACCACAGCCCATAGTTTCAAATGGGAACAAATGAGTAATAGTGTGCAGAACAAGCAAGGAGGTGGGCAGAGACAAACACGAGCTAGCGAGATCCTATTGGCGAGTTCTAGCATCATTTGCATATTTCCGTTAGAGAACGCCTACTCTGTTAAGTGCGCGTGTGCCATAACTCCAATTCGCCTTTGCAATTCTTCTAAACAAAGCAACAATAACAAAAATACTTTGGCAAATGATAAAGTCTAAAAAACTTAGTCCACTCTGATTCTAGTTTTGGGACCAGAAAACTGTATTGAGATCAAATGTTTCATCGATGACAAAACTAGCAGAAAGTCGGCCAAAATCCATCTTCTCCCACTGCCAGCCACTGGGCTTCCTCTCACTACCATATTTGGATGTGTCACATTTATACATCCGGTGAAATATGTATCATTGTTCTATCTGTGCTTTGATCACTTGTGGGGTTTAGATGACCCACAATTCAATGCAAACTGTAGTCACGTGTCAAATTTAATCAACACTGCTGCATTTTCGGCACGTCAGACAAAATTATGACGCTAGCTTGGTAAAAGATATATATATATATACAGTAACAGTCAAAAGTTTGGACACCTACTGATTCAAGGGTTTTTCTTTATTTGTACTATTTTCTACATTGTAGAATAATAGTGAAGACATCAAAACTATGAAATAACACATATGGAATCATGTAGTAACCCAAAAAGTGTTAAACAAATCAAAATATATTTCTACAATATGTAGATTCTACAAAGTGGCCACCCTTTGCCTTGATGACAGCTTTACACACTCTTGGCATTCTCTCAACCAGCTTCATGAGGAATGCTTTTCCAACAGTCTTGAAGGAGTTCCCACATATGCTGAGCACTTGTTGGCTGCTTTTCCTTCACTCTGCGGTCCAACTCTTCCCAAACCATCTCAGTTGGGTGGAGGTTGGGTGATTGTGGAGGCCAGGTCATCTGATGCAGCACTCCGTAACTCTCATTCTTGGTCAAATAGCTCTTACACAGCCTGGAGGTGTGTTTTGGGTCATTGTCCTGTTGAAAAACAAATGATAGTCCCACTAACCGCAAACCAGATGGGATGGCATATCGCTGCAGAATGCTGTGGTAGCCATGTTGGTTAAGTGTGCCTTGAATTCTAAATAAATCACAGACAGTGTCACCAGCAAAGCACCCCCACACCATCACACCTCCTCCATGCTTCACGGTGGGAACCACACATGCGGAGATCATCCGTTCACCTACTCTGCGTCTCACAAAGACGCGACGGTTGGAACCAAAAATCTATAATTTGGACTAATCAGACCAAAGGACAGATTTCCACTGGTCTAATGTCCATTGCTCGTGTTTCTTGGCCCAAGCAAGTCTCTTCTTCTTATTGGTGTCCTTTAGTAGTGGTTTCTTTGCAGTAATTCGACCATGAAGGCCTGTTTCACGCAGTCTCCTCTGAACAGTTGATGTTGAGATGTGTCTGTTACTTGAACTCTGTGAAGCATTTATTTGGGCTGCAGTTTCTGAGGTGCAGTTAACTCTAATGAACTTATCCTCTGCAGCAGAGGTAACTCTGGGTCTTCATTTCCTTTTTTTATAGTTTGGTCATTTATTCCAATACATTTCATAATTCCAAAAAATATGTTTATGAAGCTAGCTACATTTTATAGGCTATTCACTACAAGACTAAGCCAATTTACCAACGCTAAAATCAATGTCATCTATATATATTTTTTAGCATGCTAGCATCATCATTTTGTCTGACATGGCGAAAATGCAGCGGTGTTGATTACATTTGACACTTCGCGGCCACCGGAGATTGACACGTGACTACAGTTTGCGTTGGATTGTGGGTCATATCAACCCCACAAGTGATTAAAGTTCTTCACTCGCTCCCTCGAGCTAAATCTAGGGCCGAATTGAACTTCGATTTAAGATGGCAATGAAACTGCATCCGGTTTCGACGGGGATTTCGCCGAGGGAAAGTGGCTAGCGCGAGGGCTGAGGGGGTAAAAATAACGTGTTTGGACTGCAGCCCCTGCTCAACAGACGCCATAGGACTCTTTAATGATCATATGACCACTCGTTCCTCCCCTCCGTTTGCTTTCGCGGAAGTAAAATCTATCAATGAGGTGGCTAGCAAAGCAGAGCATCTATCACTATTTATTGTCTTTTCCGACTGAAAATCTTTAGTAACATAACACTAGTCAGAATGTTATTCCAGGAGAATATGACAAATTGTGTTACTTTTCAGACCAAATTAACCTCCGTTATCGATGTGTTAGCCAAAACTGCGGTGGCAGAAATAAGTAAATTATTCAATGATGGGTTTGCTGTTTTACGCTTGGAAATGTGCCGAAGAGAAAATGAAATTGAAGCCTTAAAAATCAAATTATTGTTTATGGAGAACGAACGGCAAACGACGAGGTCCAAAGCGCGAGAAGCAGGCTGTTCTTCTGCATGCTCTTCGTCTTCCAGCAGAGCAGAGCAGGGTGAGCCAGCTCGTGCTTGCTTACTGTACTAGCTAACTAGACCTAGGCCTATCTGAAATGTGTTGCAGTCCATCTCAAGGGTCAATTCTTCAAAAATATGCAGTATTAACAATGACTGACAATTATTTAGCTCAATGCCTAGCTAGTGTAGATAATGGGTTGCTCTCAACTTTGGTCTTTTAAAACCTGTAACATTCATCTCTATGCAGATAGTTATTTACTCCTGTGCCCCCTCAGTACAGCAAGCCATCCATGACCTTCAGCATGGTTTTGACTCAACTCAAAAATTGCCTACTGATCTTAAACTAGTGCTAAATGCTAATAAAACCAAGTTTGTTGTTCTGTAGGTCTCGTAATGTTGACCCTGAGGACCTGCATATTTGCACATTAATGGAGCAAGTTTCCCATTCTAAGTACTTGGGTATTTGGATTGACGATAAACTCTTTTAAAACACACATTAAAAAACTGACAATAAAGCTGAGAATTAAGGTTGGTTTCTTTTATAGAAATAAATCCTGTCTCACTTTGGAAAGTAGAATTAAGATTGTTCAAGCAACGCTTCTCCCAGTACTTGATTAAGGTGATAATCTACATGCATGTGGAAACCTCTGTTTTAAAACATTTAGATTCAGTCTCACCAGCACTGAGATTTATAACTGGAAATAATTTTCGTACACAACACTGCATTTTGTATAGTTCTGTTGCCTGGGTGTCTGACTACCAGAAGAGCCCAGCATTGGCTACTTTTTGTATATAAAGCGGTTCTTCAGAGACTCCCCAACTACCTCAGCTCACGTATTAATTGGAGATCCAGCAATTTTCAGACCCGCTCTCTGGACTGGCTGGTTCTGGAGGTCCCGCGGGTCTCCATTGACCTGAGGAAAAAGTGCTTTTAGTTTTTATTCCCCCTGCTTATGGAATAGCCTTCAGGCCACCTTGAAATTAGACTCGCCGGTCTCCATTGGACAGTTTAGATAGAGTTTAAGGGAGGTGATATGTGAGAGTTGTTTGTTTTAATTAATCTTGTATTTTAATTTGGAATATTCTTACCTTGTGTATGTTCCTGTTCACAGGGCACTCTTGTAAATTAGACCCTGGTCTCAATGGTGACCCACCCTGTATAAATAAAAGTAAAAAGTATACTTTCTATTTCAAAAAATTACATTCTGACAGTTCATTTAAACCTTCACTTTCAGGGTCCAAAGGGTGTGATGAGGATGCTGGTGAAAGGACTTCATTTGAGCAGACCGCCAGGGAGAAAGTGATCGCACCTAAAGACGACCAACTGGATCAAAATAGACCACAGCCACCTGCAGAAGAACTAGAGGGGCTCGATGAACAGTATAGGTCTGGCCACAGAGAGAAGGGTAGTGAACTAGAGTTAGTGAAGACTGAGCAGGAAGAGTATGATGTTATTTCACTACATACATCAGGAAGTGAACATGGCACAGAGAGATCAGATCATCAGGAAACTGAGTTTGCTGTGGATGACAGAGAAAGTCAACTGTGGGCGTCTTTAACAGAGAGCAACTGTGACTCGGAGGGTCCAGATTGCACTTATGGTACAGAACAATATCCACAGGATCAAGATGCAGACATACAGCTCATTCAAAGTGCAGTGGAGGGTCTCGATAGTGATCCATCGTCAGAGATAGGTGACATTAGCGGAGAGATGCGAGCACAGTCTGTTTGGAATGACAGAAGGACCCCTACAGATTTGGTTCAGGCACAGCCAGGACAGCACAGAGAAACCATGCACCCAGTGAGAAGGCAGGATGGGACAACTACCAGAATGCCGTCAGACAAACAAACACTAGCCAATGAGGGTGCAGCATATTCCAATGTTTGGCTAAACAATGTATTCTCGCTTGCCCCAAGTTGTTCAAATGGTTTCAACTCAAAAGTATCCCCAAGGAGAACCCCAGCAAGAGAGAAGTGGTTTGTTTGTTCCTTTTGTGGAAAGAGCTTTGACCGGGTCGGTCACCTGGAGATGCATCAACGGATTCATACGGGAGAGAAACCGTACAGCTGTGTGATGTGTGGAAGGTGTTTCGCTCAGCAGAGTAATCTCCGCAGACACCAGCGAGTACACAGGGGCCACACAACAAAGCAAACGGTCTACTGATGGTTATCACCATGACGAGACAACTAAGAACATTGTGAAACAACCTCATTGACATATCAACATTTTCTAATGACTGAGAACAGAGTTGATAAGACAATCAAGACACACTTGCAGAAAGCAGCAGTGTGTTACTTTTGTCTTCCCATTCTGTAAAGTGAGAGCAGTGAGACCCTACCACAACTGTTGCGCTAGTGGTGCTTATATACTGTAGAGAGGGATCAAAGTAACAGGTTTACAGCCTCCTGCTTGTGACCTTTTAAGGAACACTTATTAAGAGGATCTCCATCATCTTTTGTAGAACTAGACTAATACTACAATGAATACATTTTTATGAATAAAAATGAAAATTCTCAAACTTTGAGCCCTTTCGATTTTTTGTTGTTGAAATGAACATGAAAATAACATTAACTCACAAGGTCAGGATATATTTAGGATATCAGAACTATAAGGTTAGCTAAAATGACAGCACAAGCACAACTGATGAGCGCTTATTCAAGACTGGGTTTATAGTTGATACAAAGTGATGCTGCAATCTTGTCCAATCTGTACTTAGGCTGGTAAATATTGTTTACATAGTGGGACATACAAGAAGACAATGCTGATGTAAAAAAAAGGACAGTTACCCTAAAAAATGGCAATGAACGTGAGCATGAAGTTGCCAAACCCTCACTTATGTCCAACTGTATAATGACCATTGTGTTAGGGTGGAGCTGAGTGCAGTTCCCTTTTCAGCCAAGCCCCTCCACCCGTCTAGATGATCTGTCCTCTGGGGTGTAGGAGGATGGCGTTGGAGTGTGGTTTGGGCCGCAGGAACCCGTTGCTGTAGTGGAAGTGGTTGGAGAGCGCCTCTGAGAACTGGTAAGAACTGGTGTCACAGTCAGCCTCGTCAACCTCCAGCACGGCCTGTCTGTGGCCCCAGTCTTCCCCTTTGGTCACCCCCTCCATCTGGCCACACAGGTCGCTGAGCATTGGGGGGATGTCTGTGGGCCCCACACTGCCATCCTGGTCCTGGGGCTTGATGGGGACAAGAGAGGAAGGAAGGCCAGAGTCCTGCAAAATAGAGACCCACATATTGCAAGGCATTGAGAAAAACAGGCCTGTGAGTTATTACAGAATAAACGTAATGTGCATTTTCAAACTTTCAAGTATCCTTTTCCTCGATCAGATACAAATACACACCAGGGACATATCGCTTCTCTTCAGGTACGACTCCACCCTTCGTCTGCGCTCTTCCCTCTCTCCCTCCATCTCAGCACCCCTAATACTCTCTCTGCCCTCGTGCCAGCTATACTGGTACAGGACAGGGCGGCCTAGGTAGTCCACATCCCCCTCTCCAACAGTCCCCTGCCTCCCACCAAGGGTTGATTCACTGCCTATGTAGATGGGACGGTCCTAACAGGAGGGATCAAAATAATCCATAGATTAAACATCAATGAAAAATACCTTTATGATAGTGGACATGTTGTAAAAGTATAATATTGCTTACAAATATTTTATTGAACTCACCTCAAGGGACATTAGGCTGTTTTTCATTCTACTGTCTAGTCTGAGTAGTGTACAGTCTTCATTCTGGGGTGAAAAGTAGAGAGACAATTATTGGGGGTATCACACTCATTCACAAGTAGACACTAACTGATCATGATAGATGATAACTGAACATTTGAGCAAAAGAGTGTTTATGAGTATGTATGCAAAGTACTGTGTACCTGTCCTCTGGGGTCTGTGCTGACAGAGTTGAGTCTCCGGGAGGAGGCCTGTCTGGAGAGTGTGTTGATTTTTAACCTGTGAAAGACAGGATGTCAAACTGAGGGGGATTTTAGGATTTGAAGGATAGGGTTTAAGAGCATTGGGCAAGTAACCAAAAGGTTGCTGGTTCGATTCCCCGAGCCGACTAGGTGAAATATTTGCCGGTGTGCCCTTGAGCAAGGCACTTAACCCTAATTGCTCCTGTAAGTCACTCTGGATAAGAGCGTCTGCTAAATGACAAAAATAGAAATGGAAAGGGGGAGCAAAGTATTGTGGAAATCAACTCACGTTCTTTCGCTAAGCTCCATCTCTAATTTTCTGTTTTTGCGCCTGTGGTATCGGTTGACTAAGATGATGATGATGATCATGACAATGACCAAAACCCCAGCAGCCACAACTATAATGATCATCACTAGAGTGTCAACGGTGGTTTCCTGCACACTGCGAGATTTCTCTGTGTGAGGGAAGGGAACACACACAATTGTAAACACAAACTGCAGTGATGTACAGTTGAAGTCGGAAGTTTACATACACCTTAGCCAAATACATTTAAACTCAGTGTTTCTCAATTCCTGACATTTAATCCTAGTAAAAATTCCCTGTCTTAGGTCAGTTAGGATCACCACTTTATTTTAAGAATGTGAAATGTCAGAATAAATTTTCTGAGGTCTTGGCTGATTTCTTTAGATTTTCCCATGATGTCAAGCAAAGAGGCACTGAGTTTGAAGGTAGGCCTTGAAATACATCCACAGGTACACCCCAATTGACACAAATTATGTTAATTAGCCTATCAGAAGCTTCTAAAGCCATGACATCATTTTCTGGAATTTTCCAAGCTGTTTAAAAGCACAGTGAATTATAAGTGAAATAATCTGTCTGTAAACAATTGTTGGAAAAGTTACTGGTGTCATGCACAAAGTAGATGTCCTAACAGACTTGTCAAAACTATAGTTTGTTAACAAGAAATGTGTGGAGTGGTTGAAAAACGAGTTTGAATGACTCCAACCTAAGTATATGTAAACTTCCAACTTCAACTGTAGTTTAGTTGCAGATTTTCTATTTGAGCAAAGTTGGTCTTTCAAATTATTATCACAAGGGGGCAGCAATGTTGCACAAATGGTACCAAACACACATAGGGAGATAACAGAACTTATGTTATGAGGTCCAGGTCCTCCCAAAATACAGGAGTAACTTTGCCCACTGCCCCTTACCTGTCACTGTGATGTTATATTCTACTTTCCTTGTCCCAACGCCGTTGTTCACCACACATTCATAAACTCCAGTGTCATTCTGTCTCAGGGCTCGGCCAAACAGAAGCCTTGCTCCATTCACAGTGAGGCCGTCTGGCAGGGCCTTACCATCCCTGCAGATGGAGACAAACAAACACATACATGAATGCCCACATTAATACTGAGCCACTCAATGTAATCGTAACCTACTTAACATGCACTACATGACTAAAAGTATGTGGACGCCTGCTTGTCAAACATCTCATTCCAAAATCATGGGCATTAATATGGAGTTGGTCCTCCCTTTGCTGCTATAACAGCCTCCACTCTTCTGGGAAGGCTTTCCACTAGATGTTGGAACATTTCTGCAGGCACTTGCTTCCATTCAGCCACAAGCACATTAGTGAGGTCGGGCACTGATGTTGGGTTATTAGGCCTGGCTCGCAGTAGGCGTTCCAATTCATCCCAAAGGTGTTCGATGGGGTTGAGGTCAGGGCTCTGTGCAGGACAGTCAAGGACAGACGATTTTTTACGCGTTTCAGCACTCTGCGGTCCCGTTCTGTGAGCTTGTGTGGCCTACCACTTCCCGGCTGAGCCGTTGTTGACCCTAGACCTTTCCACTTCACAATAACAGCACTTACAGCAGCTCTAGCAGGGCAGAAATTTGATGAATTGACTTGTTGGAAAGGTGGCATCCTATGATGGTGCCACGTTGAAAGTCACTGAGCTTTTCAGTAAGGCCATTCTACTGCCAGTGTTTGTCTATGGAGATTGCATGGCTGTGTGCTCGATTTTATAAACCTTTCAGCAATGGGTGTGGCTGAAATAGCCGAATCCACTAATTTGAAGGGGTGTCCACATACTTTTGTGTATACAGAGGGGAGAATTAGTATCAAAAGTATTTGATACACTGCCGATTTTGCAGGTTTTCCTACTTACAAAGCATGTAGAGGTCTGTCATTTTTATCATAGGTACACTTAAACTGTGAGAGACAGAATCTAAAACAAAAATCCAGAAAATCACATTGTATGATTTTTAAGTAATTCATTTGCATTTTATTGCATGACATAAGTATTTGATCACCTACCAACCAGTAAGAATTCCGGCTCTCACAGACCTGTTAGTTTTTCTTTAAGAAGCCCTCCTGTTCTCCACTCATTACCTGTATTAACTGCACCTGTTTGAACTCGTTACCTGTATAAAAGACACCTGTCCACCCACTAAATCAAACAGACTCCAACCTCTCCACAATGGCCAAGACCAGAGAGCTGTGTAAGGACATCAGGGATAAAATTGTAGACCTGCACAAGGCTGGGATGGGCTACAGGACAATAGGCAAGCAGCTTGGTGAGAAGGCAACAACTGTTGGCGCAATTATTAGAAAATGGAAGAAGTTCAAGATGACGGTCAATCACCCTCTGTCTGGGGCTCCATGCAAGATCTCACCTCGTGGGGCATCAACGATCATGAGGAAGGTGAGGGATCAGCCCAGAACTACATGGCAGGACTTGGTCAATGACCTGAAGAGAGCTGGGACCACAGTCTCAAAGAAAACCATTAGTAACACACTACGCCGTCATGGATTAAAATCCTGCAGCGCACGCAAGGTCCCCCTGCTCAAGCCAGCGCATGTCCAGGCCCGTCTGAAGTTTGCCAATGACCATCTGGATGATCCAGAGGAGGAGTGGGAAAAGGTCATGTGGTCTGATGAGACAAAAATATAACTTTTTGGTCTAAACTCCACTTGCCGTGTTTGGAGGAAGAGGAAGGATGAGTACAACCCCAAGAACACCATCCCAACCGTGAAGCATGGAGGTGGAAACATCATTCTTTGGGGATGCTTTTCTGCAAAGGGGACAGGACGACTGCACGCTATTGAGGGGAGGATGGATGGGGCCATGTATCGCGAGATCTTGGCCAACAACCTCCTTCCCTCAGTAAGAGCATTGAAGATGGGTCGTGGCTGGGTCTTCCAGCATGACAACGACCCGAAACACACAGCCAGGGCAACTAAGGAGTGGCTCCGTAAGAAGCATCAAGGTCCTGGAGTGACCTAGCCAGTCTCCAGACCTGAACCCAATAGAAAATCTTTGGAGGGAGCTGAAAGTCAGTATTGCCCAGCGACAGCCCCGAAACCTGAAGGATCTGGAGAAGGTCTGTATGGAGGAGTGGGCCAAAATCCCTGCTGCAGTGTGTGCAAACCTGGTCAAGACCTACAGGAAACGTATGATCTCTGTAATTGCAAACAAAGGTTTCTGTACCAAATATTAAGTTCTGCTTTTCTGATGTATCAAATACTTATGTCATGCAATAAAATGGAAATGAATTTCTTTAAAATCATACAATGTGATTTTCTAGATTTTTGTTTTAGATTCCATCTCTCACAGTTGAAGTGTACCTATGCTAAAAATTACAGACCTCTACATGCTTTGTAAGTAGGAAAACCTGCAAAATCAGCAGTGTATCAAATACTTGTTCTCCCCACTGTATATAGTGTACTTACAGTGCATTCGTAAAGTATTCAGACCCCTTCACTTTTTCCACTTTGTTATGTTACAGCCTTATTCTAAAATGGATTAAAGTGTTTATTTTCCCTCAATCTACACACAATACCCCATAATGACAAAGCAAAAAACTGAAATATCACATTTACTTAAGTATTCAGACCCTTTACTCAGTACTTTGTTGAAGCACCTTTGGCAGCGATTATAGCTTCGAGTCTTCTTGGGTATGACGCCACAAGCTTGGCACACCTGTATTTGAAGAGTTTCTCCCATTCTTCTCTACAGATCCTCTCAAGCTCTGTCAGGTTGGATGGGGAGTGTCGCTGCACAGCTATTTCCAGGTCTCTCTAGAGATGTTTGATCGGGTTCAAGTGCAGGCTCTGGCTGGGCCACTCAAGGACATTGTGACTTGTCCCGAAGCCACTCCTGTGTTGTCTTGGCTGTGTGCTTAGGGTTGTTGTCCTGTTGGAAGGTGAACATTCGCCCCAGTCTGAGGTCCTGAGCGCTCTGGAGCAGGTTTTCATCAAGGATCTCTGTACTTTTCTCTGTTCTCTTTCCCTCGATCCTGACCAGTCTCCCAGTCCCTGAAAAGCATCCCCACAGCATGATGCTGCCACCACCATGCTTCACCGTGAGGATGGTATTGGCCAGGTGATGAGCGGTGCCTGGTTTCCTCCAGACATGACACTTGGCATTCAGGCCAAAGAGTACAATCTTGGTTTCATCAGACCAGAGAATCTTGTTTCTCATGGTCTGAGAGTCCTTTAGGTGCCTTTTGGCAAACTCCAAGCGGGCTGTCACGTGCCTTTTAGCAAGGAGTGGCTTCCGTCTGGCCACTCTACCATAAAGGCCTGCTTGGTGGAGTGCTGCAGAGATGGTTGTCCTTCTGGAAAGTTCTCCCATCCCCACAGAGGAACTCTGGAGCTCTGTCAGAGTGACCATCGGGTTCTTGGTCACCTCCCTGACCAAGGCCCATCTCACCCGATTGCTCAGTTTGGCCGGGCAGCCAGCTCTAGGAAGAGTCTTGGGGGTTCGAAACTGCTTCATTTTAAGAATGATGGAGGCCAATGTGTTATTGGGTACCTTCAATGCTACAGAAAATGTTTGGTACCCTTCCCCAGATCTGTGTCTTGACACAATCCTGTCTTGGAGCTCTACAGACAATTCCTTCAACCTCATGGCTTGGTTTTTGCTCTGACATGCACTGTCAAATGTATTTTGTGTTATAGATATGTGGTAGTAGAAATATGTTATGAATGTATTGTAATGTATAACTGCCTTAATTGTGCTGGACCCCAGGAAGAGTAGCTGCTGCTAATGGGGATCCATAATAAATACAAATACAAACTTTCCAAATGCACTGTATGACTAATGGAACAGCAGACTCACCGCATGAAACAACAGCTATGTTCATGGTTCATGAAGGCAGATGTATTGGGCAGGGTTGGTCAATTCTCAATTCAAGAGTTATAATTCAATTTATGAAAAATTAAAAGCCTTGTGTTCAACTAGACATTACCAGAATATAAACCTCTGACGGGAATGTCAGCTAAGCCACACAGAAGTAGCCTAGTAGCCTATAATTAAATCCAAACAATAGGTCAGTGTGCATTGGTGAGGTGTTTTAGTTAAATACATTTTCGTTACATCAGGTTTACCACAAAAGGGAAACCAGCAATTTGCTTTCATCTGTAAAACCAGTTTAATTACTGCTCCTATTGATCTGAATAGACAAATGCTGCTTGGCTTGGTATGAGCCAACTACTATATGAAGGAAGACTAAGAGGCCCCTGAATAAGCTCAGACGTCCCAGTGAGCATAATAGAGAGGCAGTTTCTGATCCCACCAGGAACTAGGTCCACTGAGAGGGCTCATGTTGCCCAAGTTTCACTGTGCAGGGCAGAATGCCATTTTACTGCTCACCCAAACAAGGGGCTTCTCACATTTCTGTTCTTACTCACTCAGCCCCACCTTATAACCAATCCTTTATAATGGAATCAACGCCAGAGAATACATCTGACATTGAATACAGTGAGGGAAAAAAGTATTTGATCCCCTGCTGATTTTGTACGTTTGCCCACTGACAAAGAAATGATCAGTCTATAATGTTAATGGTAGGTTTATTTGAACAGTGAGAGACAGAATAACAACAACAAAATCCAGAAAAACGCATGTCAAAATTGTTATAAATTGATTTGCATTTTAATGAGGGAAATAAGTATTTGACCCCCTTTCAATCAGAAAGATTTCTGGCTCCCAGGTGTCTTTTATAGAGGTAACGAGCTGAGATTAGTAGCACACTCTTAAAGGGAGTGCTCCTAATCTCAGCTTGTTACCTGTATAAAAGACACCTGTCCACAGAAGCAATCAATCAATCAGATTCCAAACTCTCCACCATGGCCAAGACCAAAGAGCTCTTCAAGGATGTCAGGGACAAGATTGTACATTTACATTACATTTTAGTCATTTAGCAGACGCTCTTATCCAGAGTGACTTAGTTAGTGCATACATTATTTTTAAAAAATCATATCCCCCGTGGGAATCGAACCCACAACCCTGGCGTTGCAAACGCCATGCTCTACGAACTGAGCTACATCCCCTGCCGGCCATTCCCTCCCCTACCCTAGACGACGCTGGGCCAATTGTGCTCTCTAGTGGCACAGCTAGCACTGCGATGCAGTGCCTTAGACCACTGCGCCACACAAGGCTGGAATGGGCTACAAGACCATCGCCAAGCAGCTTGGTGAGAAGGTGACAACAGTTGGTGCGATTATTCGCAAATGGAAGAAACACAAAATAACTCCCTCGGCCTGGGGCTCCATGCAAGATCTCACCTCGTGGAGTTGCAATGATCATGAGAACGGTGAGGAATCAGCCCAGAACTACACGGGAGGATCTTGTCAATGATCTCAAGGCAGCTGGGACCATAGTCACCAAGAAAACAATTGGTAACACACTACGCCGTGAAGGACTGAAATCCTGCAGCGCCCGCAAGGTCCCCCTGCTCAAGAAAGCACATATACAGGGCCGTCTGAAGTTTGCCAATGAACATCTGAATGATTCAGAGGAGAACTGGGTGAAAGTGTTGTGGTCAGATGAGACCAAAATGGAGCTCTTTGGCATCAACTCAACTCGCCGTGTTTAGAGGAGGAGGAATGCTGCCTATGACCCCAAGAACACCATCCCCACCGTCAAACATGGAGGTGGAAACATTATGCTTTGGGGGTGTTTTTCTGCTAAGGGGACAAGACAACTTCACCGCATCAAAGGGACGATGGACGGGGCCATGTACCGTCAAATATTGGGTGAGAACCTCCTTCCCTCAGCCAGGGCATTGAAAATGGGTCGTGGATGGGTATTCCAGCATGACAATGACCCAAAACACATGGCCAAGGCAACAAAGGAGTGGCTCAAGAAGAAGCACATTAAGGTCCTGGAGTGGCCTAGCCAGTCTCCAGACCTTAATCCCATAGAAAATCTGTGGAGGGAGCTGAAGGTTCGAGTTGTCAAACGTCAGCCTCGAAACCTTAATGACTTGGAGAAGATCTGCAAAGAGGAGTGGGACAAAATCCCTCCTGAGATGTGTGCAAACCTGGTGGGAAACTACAAGAAACGTCTGACCTCTGTGATTGCCAACAAGGGTTTTTGCCAACAAGTATTAAGTCATGTTTTGCAGAGGGGTCAAATACTTATTTCCCTCATTAAAATGCAAATCAATTTATAACATTTTTTACATGCGTTTTTCTTGATTTTTTTGTTGTTATTCTGTCTCTCACTGTTCAAATAAACCTACCATTAAAATTATAGACTGATAATTTCTTGGTCAGTGGGCAAACGTACAAAATCAGCAGGGGATCAAATACTTTTTTTCCCCTCACTGTACATGTTCGATGATAATAATACTGATAGGGAAACCCTATTACCAAGTGGTCAGGATACAGTTTATTTTCATTCAAATGCATTAAGGTTTTAGAAACATGCCATATGGGCTCCCAAGTGGCGCAGTGGTCTAAGGCACTGCATCTCAGTGCTTGAGGCATCACTACAGACCCCCTGGTTCGATTCCAGGCTGTATCACAACCGGCTGTGATTGGGGGTCCCATAGGGCGGTGCACAATTGGCCCAGTGTCGTCCGGGTTTGGCCGGTGTAGGCCGTCATTGTAAATAAGAATTTGTTCTTAACTGACTTGCCTAGTTAAATAAAGGTAAAAAATAAATTTGATACTCCACACACATTGAGCAATTTTGGAAAAGTATCTCTCCTTGAATTATATTTAACTACTGCAGAAACTGACATGAGTTGTTAGCATGCTGCAATGGTGGGTATTTAATTGTGTATTCTGTCATTATTGTAATGCTCAGAGAATAATCTTTAATTACGTGCAGACCCTGTGTTTTACAGCGTATTAGAGTGATATTTAAAGCGAGGCACTATGATTAAGTGCTTAAGATGTGTCTCCAGCGCTTCCTCCCTCCATGGCTCCCTCTCTCCCTGGCTCGCTCACTCGTGTGAAAATGTCTCCCTTCCAATCGGTTTTCTAATTTTGTATCTTTACACTATGTATTTATTCCATATTGAATGGAACAAAGAGAAGAAGACACCCTCCTCTAGTTGACATACTCTTTATCGTGTGTGTGTGTGTTTCTCTTGCAAATATTTGAATAGTACATTTAATAGTGCAGAGTGTTACATTATGCAAATAGTGACAGACAGAAACATAGTCAGTCAGACAGGTAATACCTGGTCCAGGTGAAGCTCTGTGGTTTGGGGTTTCCTCCACTCTCACACTTGAGTTCAGCTCCCTTCAGTCCCATGTACCAGTTTCCATTATAGCCAGTGACAGCTGCATCTGGGGGAACTGTCAACACAAACCTTGTCACTTTAATCCAAGCATGGCCATTTAATTATACTATCCCACCATAGTGACAACTGAGGGTAAACTCACATTGCACTACCAGGCGGTTGCTGATCCTCCGGGGTTGCTCCAGAGCAGGGTGCCAGACGAGGCAGTCCAGCCGCATGCCGTTCATACTCCTCAGGGGGTGCAGGGAGAAGTGGGTGGACACGGCCCCACCCTCGGAGCTGCGGTTCTGGGTCTGGCCAGGGAGGTCCGTGTCCCAGGTCAAGCGGGGTGGAGGACGGGCCACGGAGCGGCAGGAGGCGGCCACGCGGAAGGACTGGCCCTCCTCCAGAACCACCGGGTCCAGAGAGGAGATTGGTAGGGCTGAGGGGGAGGGAGGTAGAGGGGGAGAGGTAGGGCCAGGCTATATGAGATTCCATGTTGTGCAGGTAAAATTGAGTGTGTAAGTAAGGCTTTGGTCAGTCAGAACAGAGATTTCCTTCAGGGGTTGACTCCAACAAATCAAGTCAAATGTGGGGTTATTAACAGGAAATGACTATGATGAAATAGTCACTTGGTTTACAATTAGGACGGTGAAAGGAATTAGTCTTACTCCACACAGTGAGTGACAGCTGCCTCTCAAAGTTCCCATAGGGGAATGTGCTGATGTGACAGGTGTATTTCCCCTCATAAGATTCCTCAGTGTTCATGATGAGCAGAGCAGAGTTCACCGTGGGGCTACTGCTCTCAAACCTCACTCTCCCAGAGTACCGCCCAAACTCTGACAGAGACACAGAGAGACAAAGACAGGTTTATTCCTGGTAAACATTACAGTCATTGCAGACAAATGCAAGAAAACAACATTATGTTATAGTGATTGAGTGACTAAGTGGTTAAGATGAGAGACTACTCTGTGTGAGTTGGTGAGGGCATGGTGTACCAACCTGTGTGTCCCTCTGTGAGGTGGGCAGTGATGATTTGTTCCTTGGTGCCATCAGGTATCTCCTTGAACCAGCTGACCTGAACTACCTGCTCCTCCTCCTGAACTTGGAACTGACAGGGCAGCCGCGTCTCAGCCTCCGTCAAGGAACGCAGGGAGAAGGATGGAGGAGGCTCCACAAACCCACCCCTCACACATGCTGCTGTATGAGAGAGAGTGGTGTGTATGTGTGTGTTAGAGAGCGTGAAACAGGGTGAGTGAAGGGGTTGAGAAAGAGTAATGCATCATCACCATAAACAAGGATGCGCAAACATTGCCCTTTGAAGTGTTGAGGTGGGTATAGACTGTCTGTAGTTAATGATTCCTTCACTCATTAATGATTACACAGTTAAGAGACCATGGCACATACACGTAACTGCCAAAATAAAGAAAACACCAACATACTGTAAAGTGCCTTAATAAGACGTTGGCCCACCACAACAGCTTCAATGCGCCCTGGCATAGATTCTACAAGTGTCTGGAACTCGACACCATTCTTCCACGAGAAACTCCATAATTTGGTGTTTTGTAGATGGTGGTGGAATCGCAGTCTCAAGCGCCACTCCAGAATCTCCCACAAGTGTTCAATTGGGTTGAGATCTGGTGACTGAGACACACACACCCTTTAAACCCCCCATGCTCCTTTGAGCCCAGTCTTTCAAAGTCCCTGAGATCTCTTCTTCTAGCCATGGTAGCCAAAATAATGGGTAACTTGCTTAACTAACTCAGGAACCACCTGCTTTCAATATACTTTGTATCCCTCATTTATTAAAGTGTTTCCTTTATTTTGGCATGTTACCTGTATACGAGTAATTCCGTTCATTTCAACCACACAAGAACAAGGTCACAGACCCTTCAGGCACACTGACACAGAGGAATGCAAACAAACTTTCTCACGCACACAGGCTCACACTTATTTCTAGTGAACACAAAAAGGGACTTGTTGTGACCTATTTTACAGACATGGGAGAGGGAGAAACATTCAGGCGCACATAGGGCCTCAGACAGAGGTAGTTTGTGCCACAAAGCTGTTTTACTTGCTTTTCCTGTTCATGGCGTTCATTGACCTTTATCACACCTCAGTTTAGCAGTTATGCTAAGGCCATTATTAACACACTAACTGACAGTGTATTTACCACAAAGGAAGCTTACTTTTAAAACAGATATAGGCCTACACATGCTACAAAAATGTGTTTGTTGAAACACTCATTACTACTCAACCAAAACAAAAATATACTTCAGGGAAATAGCCTGCACTTTTTTGTTTTCCAAAGAATGTTACTCTTACTCTAGTTAATTTCTATGATGCCGATGTTGGTCTGTACTTGTCACCACTCCATTTCCTTATAGTATCATGGTATGCAACGAACATACACACCATGCAAATGTGTGTTTTTGTTAAGAAAAAAAACATTCCCAAATCTTACCAAATGCCCATAGCACCAACCACGCTGTCCCCCACTGGCTCTGGCCCCAGACAGGTAACTCCATCCCTTGATTCAGTAGCACTCCCAATATCAAACTTTGGGAGTTCCAAAATCTATCCACGTTGAACAACAAGCTTCAAAATGGTATGAAATAATGCATTTTCGTTATCTAGAAATATGAGAGTAAGTTGTTGCCACTTGAGTAGCCTATTTGGAGAAACATTTGTCCGCACCTTACGTCGACGGCAGGTAGACAAACGGGTCAGGTGTTCGTCTCTCTTCGTAGTTCTTGCCAATCAAAGCTAACCTAATCTATTTATTTATTTACAGTAGCACACAAATTGTGTCCACATTTTCTACAGTATAACTACATCCCAAAACGGTCCCAACTTTTGGGTTTACTTTTCTAACATTTATTTTGCTCACTCTCTCTCCAGAAGTCCGTAGCCTACCTGACGCACGAGGTAAAATTTTAATTCCAACTCGAACAACTGCAAACACCAGATAATCGGGTAACATTACCTACTCCACAACATCGGAACAGAATTAGATTAAGTCGTTAGCCTAACATTCTTCAGTGAAATGTCTCTAATTCTCGAATTTACACCTTGCTCAGGCTTTTGCACTCCATTGCTGAATACATATGTTACGCCTGCGTCTCTCCACCCCCTAATTATCATACAACGTAAAGTAGCGTTGAGTTTGATTTGAAGAACCCTTTTAAAGGGTTCTTCAAATACCTTATAGTGGTTCCCCCACAGTTTCAATTTGAAGAACCCCTAAAGGATACTCCAGGAACCTTTTCTTTTTAGAGTGTAGCTAGCTAACGTTACAGTCCTGTATTGAACTCTGAAAGCCATCAGCTAAATCATATAGCTGTATTATTTGGCATACACATTGTCAATCAATTTTGCCAATGCAATGGTAGGGAAAAAAGTAAGCAACTTGTCTGTCGGCCCTGCATTAACCTCTTAAGGATCGGACCCTTTTTTTCAATTTTCGCCTAAAATGACATACCCAAATCTAACTGCCTGTAGCTCAGGACCTGAAGCAAGGATATGCATAGTCTTGATACTGTAGCGACCCGCACAGACAGCTGTGTGTTATGTGTTAGGCTAGTAGATGGTTGTGTTGTACCTACCAGTACCCAGTGTTCGCGGGGTCCGACATGTCAATCAACCTGCTATCTGCCAATCACGGGAATGCCTGGAATGTTCTGATGCCGGGCATCCTGGCGGTTGGCGGAGTGGCGTGGAGGGGGGTTGGGCAGGGGGATGGAGCATTGGAAGTTAAGACCAGGTTTAGCCTTTGTTCTCTCTCTTTTTACGTCTGGGCTTCACAAGAGAAGGTCACGATTGGCTTGTGGGTTATCTTTCATTTATTTGGCGTGGGCTACGGCCAAACAGTAGCCTGTGTAAAGTTGGTTTAATAAACCGTCCATTCGTAAACTCAATCCTCTGTCTGGACAGTTGTTCTTTTATGATCTAGTCAGGTCATCACAATACTATTTGAAAGGAAACACTTTGAACTTTGTGGAAATGTGAAATTAATGTAAGAGAATATAACACATTAGATCTGGTAAGAGAGAATACAAACAAAAAAACATGCGTTTTCTATTTTTGTTTCATCATCTTTGAAATGCAAGAAAAAGTCCACAATATAATATTGCAGTTTAGGCGCAATTTAGATTTTAGCCACTAGATGGCAGCAGTGTGTGCGCAAAGTGTCAGATTGAGCCAGTGAAGCATTGCAATACTGGACTATTTTGTATCAAGTCTGCCTGAATGTGCGGAATTGGTCAATTGATACATTTTCAAGTACATAACTATAGAGAACATACCAAAATGATATGGTAATACAACATGTAAGTTTACACACTCCCAGGAATGTCATACATGATGGATCATTAGCTTATACACTAACCTTCACACATCTAGATGGCCGGGAGAGGTGGGTGTGGAGCCAGAGACAGCAAGGATTCAAACTGTAGAACCCAGTTCCTACATTTGAATATAAAAATGGATTTTATCAAACAAAACTATGCTACATTTTTATCTCTGGGACCCACAGGATGACAAATCAGAGCAAGATTACTGAATGTAAGTACATTATTTACCTTCAGAGGTGAATGTAGCAAACCAGTTGCAGTGATACATTTTTTGTTGTTGTGCACTCTCCTCAAACAATAGCATGGTATTTTTTCACTGTAACAGCTACTGTAAATTGGACAGTGCAGTTAGATTAATAAGAATTTAAGCTTTCTGCCCATATAAGACATGTGGCTTACGAAAGTATTCACCCCCCTTGGCATTTTTCCTATTTTGTTGCCTTACAACCTGGAATTAAAATGGATTTTGGGGGGATTTGTATCATTTGATTTACACAACATGCCTACCACTTTGAAGATGCTAAATACTTTGTTGGGTGAAATAAACCAGAAATAAGACAAAAAAACGGATCTTGAGCGTGCATAACCATTCACCCCGCACAAGGTCAATACTTTGAAGAGCCACCTTTTGCAGCAATTACAGCTGCAAGTCTCTTGGGGTATGTCTCTATAAGCTTGGCACATCTAGCCACTGGGATTTTTGCCCATTTACATTTACATTTTAGTCATTTAGCAGACGCTCTTATCCAGAGCGACTTACAGGAGCAATTAGGGTTAAGTGCCTTGCTCAAGGGCACATCGACAGATTTTTCACCTAGTCGGCTCGGGGATTAGAACCAGCGACCTTTCGGTTACTGGCACAACGCTCTTAACCACTAAGCTACCTGCCGCCCCCATTCTTCAAGGCAAAACTGCTCCAGCTCCTTCAAGTTGGATGGGTTCCGCTGGTGTACAGCAATCTTTAAGTCATACCACATATTCTCAATTGGATTGAGGTCTGGGCTTTGACTAGGCCATTCCAAGACATTTAAATGTTTCCCCTTAAACCACTCAAGTGTTGCTTTAGCAGTGTGCTTAGGGTCATTGTCCTGCTGGAAGGTGAACCTCCGTCAGTCTCAAATCTCTGGAAGACTAAAACAGGTTTCCCTCAAGAATTTCCTTGTATTTAGCACCATCCATCATTCCTTCAATTCTGACCAGTTTCCCAGTCCCTGCCGATGAAAAACATCCCCACAGCATGGTGGTGGCAGCATGATGTTCTCGGGGTGATGAGAGATGTTGGGTTTGCGCCAGACATAGCGTTTTCCTTTATGGCCAAAAGCTCAATTTTAGTCTCATCTGACCAGAGTACCTTCTTCCATATGTTTGGGGAGTCTCCCACATGCCTTTTGGAAAACACCAAACGTGTTTGCTTCTTTTTTTCTTTAAGCAATGGCTTTTTTCTGGCCACTCTTCCGTAAAGCCCAGCTCTGTGGAGTGTACGGCTTAAAGTGGTCCTATGGACAGATACTCCAATCTCCACTGTGGAGCTTTGCAGCTCCTTCAGGGTTATCTTTGATCTCTTTGTTGCCTCTCTGATTAATGCCCTCCTTGCCTGGTCCATGAGTTTTGGTGGGTGGCCCTCTCTTGGCAGGTTTGTTGTGGTGCCATATTCTTTCTTTAATAATGGATTTAATGGTGCTCCGTGGGATGTTCAAAGTTTCGGATATTTTTTTATAACCCAACCCTGATCTGTACTTCTCCACAACTTTGTCCCTGACCTGTTTGGAGAGCTCCTTGGTCTTCATGGTGCCGCTTGCTTGGTGGTGCCCCTTGCTTATTGGTGTTGCAGACTCTGGGGCCTTTCAGAACAGGTAAATATATACTGAGATCATGTGACAGATCATGTGACACTTAGATTGCACACAGGTGGACTTTATTTAACTAATTATGTGACTTCTGAAGGTAATTGGTTGCACCAGATCTTATTTAGGGGCTTCATAGCAAAGGGGGTGAATACATATGCACGCACCACTTTTTCGTTATTAATTTTGGAGAAGTTATTTTTAAAATTTCACTTCACCTATTTTTGGACTATTTTGTGTATGTCCATTACATGAAATCCAAATAAAAATCAATTTAAATTACAGGTTGTAATGCAACAAAATAGGAAAAACGCCAAGGGGGATGAATACTTTTGCAAGGCACTATATTGTCACGATCGTCGATAGAAGTGGACCAATGCGCAGCGTGATAAGTGAACATACTTCTTTTATTAGAGTCACCACACGAACAAAACAACAAACGATACGAAACGTGAAGTCCTACGGTTACACAAACCAAACGGAACAAGATCCCACAACACACTGTGGAAAACAGGCTGCCTAAGTATGGTTCCCAATCAGAGACAACAAGCAACAGCTGATACACGTTGCCTCTGATTGAGAACCACACCGGCCAACATAGAAACAAATTAACTAGATAATCACCCTAGCACACAAAACACATAGAAACAACACACCCTGGCTCAACATAACAGAGTCCCAGAGCCAGGGCGTGACATATATATATTTGCGAGAGAAAAAAACATATGAGGGATTGGAAGTGATGCAGACAATTACATTGATGTAAGTTGCAATCTATCTGCAATATTAAAGCTGATCTACCCCTCTTGCCGTGCGGCAACAGATAAAATAGTCTATGGCTTGAGTGGTTGGGGTCATTGACGATTATTTTCACACCGCCTGGTATAGAGGTCCTGGATGGCAGGGAGCTCGGCCCCAATAATGTACTGGGCTGTCCGCACAACCCTCTGTAGTGCCATGCGGTCGAGGGCGGTGCTATTGCCATACCAAGCAGTGATGTAGCCAGTCAATATGCTCTCAATGGTACAGCTGTAGAAACTTTTTAGGATTTGAGGGCCCATGCCTTCTTCACGACTGTGTGTGTGTGTTTGGACCATTTTAAGTCTTTAGTGATTTGGACACCGAGGAACTTGAAGCTGTCTACTTGCTCCACTGTTGCCCCGTCGATGTGGATGGGAGTGTACTCGTCTGAACAGAGCCATGAACCTCCCATAGGAACCCAGCTCCTCCTCTCCTCTCTCCCAGACGGCCATAGCCCACTCCAACGCCCGCTCGGTCAGCAGGGAAATAACTGCGGCAACCTTGGACCTCTCTGTGGTGGGGTCTCCCGTTTGATGAGAAAAATAGAGGGAGCACTGGAGGAGGAAGCCACGGCATTTGGATGGAGTCCCGTCATATTTGTCCGGAAGGGACAAACGGGCATCGCTGACCTGGGCAGACTGCTGAATGGGCTGGGGTGCTGGCTCGCTGGGTCAACTCATGGTAGAAGATCCTCTGCTCGTTGGGGGTGACGTCCTTTGAGGAAGATCTAGACGTTGAAGAATGCAGAGGATCTCATCCATAGCCAGCTGGTCGTGGTGTTGGCAAAGTAGGTCCCCCTGTTCGCCGACCATTTTCGAGATGTCTCGGTTGGCTGCTGCTTCCATTCTGTGAGGTAGTATTCTGTAATGGAGACGCAAGGAGTCAAGAAGCAAGTGCAGGCGGTGAGTTTAATAGGAACGAACATGGAGTGAATACAAAAACAGGAGTAGTGTCTAAACATGAAAACAGGAAACAATACTACTTAATTGGTGATACAACGGAGTGCTAGATAAAGGGGAAGTACTCAGGGAGTGATGAAGTCCAGGTGTGCCTCATGATGGAGAGCAGGTGGCGGTAATGGTGGTTGCCAGGTGTGCGTAATGATGGGTTGCCAGGACCGGTGGTTAATAGACCGGCGACGTCGAGCACCGGAGCGGGAGTAGACGTGACAGACACGCAGGCAAAGGAATTCTGTTTCTGTATCCACTCCAGGAAGAAGCCCAGGCAACCACAGTATTTTCTGTAAGACAAAAAAATTAAAAAAATTATACTCTATTGTAGTTTGAACGACAGTTGAACTGTGTCAGCATAACAACATTAGGGTAGACTAGTTGAACATGCATACATGTGCACAGGCACAGCGATTACATTTACAACAATATCTAGCCTAATAGAAAGAAACATGACATAACCCTCAACCTTTACACAATGACCAGACAGTGTCTGCCTAGGTAGGTAGGCAGACAGTATCTACCTACAGCCATGTCTATCAGGCATGCTTAGGCAAATATTTTAATAGTAAAACCAACTTCAGTTTTAGAGATTTACGAAAGTAAATTGTTGCATTATTGTTTCTCCTTATTGTTTGCTAGTAAACTTAGCTAGCTAGCTTTCTTGATATACAATACTTGTTATTTAAATCTGTTTGGAATCCTATCTTGCATCATGCCTACAATTTTGTGAGATTGAAAGGCATCCACGGTCATAATCATAACCAATGTCAACCCTCGTTAATTATGTTACATAGCTAGCTAGTAAAATTATTTAGTTTCTGATGTTACATGTTTGTTAACAAGTTACAAACGCGAGGCATGGCGCTTAACAAGTTAGCAGGCACCAGGCAAACTAGCTAGCAAACTCTAGTCATGTGCTAACATTTGCTGGTAAACCTAGCTTTAGTTGGCTGGTTGTAATGTTGTAGCTTGCTGTTTAGTAGCCATATCTTCAACTAAAAAGATAACAGGTTTTACAATCGAGATACAAAAGATCTCCGATTGTAAAACCTCTTCTATTTTTAGTTATAGATATGGCTACCGGTAGTTGTTTAGCTAACTTAGCTACCTAGCTAGATAGCTACCTAGTGAAGTTAGCAAACAGAAAAATAATTAGATTTCCCCCCACTGTAACAAAGTAGTATGTTAGCCAGCAATACACAATATGGGTTTCAGTAGATAAACTAAAGTTAGCTAACTAGCTAGGTGGCTTGCAGGAAAAATTACTTAATTACTTACTTACCCATCAGTACACCGGAAGCCGTCATAGGGTGTATCATTCAGGGCGCAAAGCCCAGACCTGCCTTCCTTCTAGGCAATTATGTGTGAAACACATCTCACTGTCCTAGAAATGCCTCGGACATGATAAAAACAAGCCTCCAGGGTAAAATTATGGCAACCCACTGGTGTGTGGGTAAGTCTCAATGTAAAGGCACCAATAATTTGGAACTATGGATCTGTGAATGCCATCTACTGTTCTTTCTTGAGCTCAAGCAAGGATACCTTGCTTTGACAGATAAAATAATCTCACATGCAGTCGGTCGGTCAGTCAGTCAGACTCAGGTTGTTGAGCCTTTTTTTGGGTTCTTCCCACGGTGACACAGTAGTATAACACTCATATGGTTTTGTCATATCAATTTAAACATGGACAGAATACATTAATGTCAATGAAGCTGTAATAAAAAAAGACATCGGACCCTGATTTAAGGTTGTTTCTGAATCATTTAATATTTTAAATAAAAACATTTAAATGACAAGTTAATTGATAGTCAATTATAGAAAGTGAAAGGGCTGCTTTACAGAATAATCTAAATGCATCTTAAACACTGCCCATCTTGGGCCCCCAGTCAACAGCCACCAACACTACTGGCCCTACCTCACCTAAGCATGATGATTTGGAAAGGAAAGCAAGCAGTCATGTAGATCTAAACTAATTGAAATGCCATGTTAGACCGGGTTGTGGTTTGTTGTTTACCACCACTCATACTACTGCCTTCTTCCTTTATCACACCAGCATCGCTTTCTTCTGCACCTTGATGGTCTCATAGGTGTCCTGACCTTTATGGGTCAAACCCTGTGAGAGGAAGCACAGTGAGGGACTTGAAAACAACTTGAAATCCTTAAAACTGCAATCTTCTTTGTGTCATTTATGATATACTTTAAGTTATAATAAGAATAAGAAAAATTATCTTACTGCGTAAAGTCCCTCTCCTTTCTGTAAAATGGAAATTATGAGAGCTGTTATCTGCGCTGTTATCTGCTGAAGGCACACATACACACATGCACATGCACACACACAAACACATACACATAATTTACTTTATCAGAAGAACATTTAACAGGAGAACATCATTCCTCCTTCCCTATATCTCATGTTCTCCTTCTCTATTTATTTTTATCGGCAAAGACAGGAATTGGTGTAGAAGACTAGAGACAGAGGGTGATGATATGACCGTTTAAAGCTTTCACTACTCTTAGCTTCCACTGTAGTTTGATTTTCTTTCTATCACGTAATCTTTTCTGTGTAACAGGATATAGTGTTGCGTTTTAGTCTGACTGTAATGGAAACTGTGTTTATAAGTAGCAGGGTTGGTGGTCAGTTCTCGTTAACAGGAAAAGCAGAACTGTGGGCTTCGAGGTGACATGGTAAAACAGCATATGACTTGACATATTCCTCTTACATCGCTAATTTCTTGAACAACCAGGATGAATCATTTCGCCAGCTGAATTTGATCAACATTCAGATGTATACATACATTTTCTGGTTTGTAAAGAAAGCTACAGTTGAATATTGGTTATTGAGAGTATTGTGTCATATATACATGCCCAATACACATTCACATTCTCTCTCGCTCTTATTTTCTCTCCCTCTTACACACGCACACAAATGTTTATTGTACCTGTGGATACCCGCCAGTGCCCTGTGGATACCCGCCAGTGTTTATGTAGATGGGATGCATCTGAGGAACATGATGAATATCATTTTAATTAAACAACTGTGTGAATGTGAAACGTATTCTATTTATGTGGGAGCTGATCTTCAATTGCTGAGGCAGTTATATTGTTATTGATGTCTTGAATGTGCTATTATTGTTGAAATATAAATAGCATTTTACAGTATGAATATTATTAATGTGGTCATGGAGATATGTGTGAGCTGCATACCCAGATGGATCATATGTTTTGTGGATGGTGAGATGTTTTATAATGTGTTATAGTGCGTTTATAATTCCTTACCCTCAGTCTGCAGTACAAGATGGTGAGAATGACGCCGTAGATCACGAGAATCCCATCCAGGATATAACACAGTTTCCCATCTGGCACTTGGGCCTCTGCACACATTATAGGATCACATTGCATCATCATCATCATCATCACTATACCATCATAGATATCACTAATGAAAAAAAAATGTATCAACCGCAGGCCTACTATTTTTATCTGTTCATGTTGTAATACTGCAAATAATGAATTACACATGTAATGTAAAGATAATTATAAACTGGGTGGTTCAAGCCCTGAATGCTGATTGGCTGACAGCCGTGGTATATCACGGGTATGACAAAACATTTATTTGTACTGCTCTAATTACGTTAGTAACCAGTTTATAATAGCAATAAGGCACCTCGGGGGTTTGTGGTATATGGCCAATATACCACAGCTAAGGGCTGTGTCTAGGCACTCCGTGATGCGTTGTGCGTAAGAACAGCCCTTAGCCGTGGTATATTGGCCATATACCACACCCCCTCGTGCTTTATTGCTTAAATAATCTATTGCATAGAGTGCTGTATTACTAGCCCATTAGGTTGAGGATCAGGAGTAATTGTCATAGTACACTGATTATACATGTCCCTGTCACGCCCTGGCCTTGAGAGGCCGGTTGTCTTTAGTTGGTTTGGTCAGGGCGTGAGGATCTATGTTAGAATTTCTATGTTTAGGATCTAGATGTGTATTTCTAGGTTTGGCCGGGTGTGATTCCCAATCAGAGGCAGCTGTCGCTCGTTGTCTCTGATTGGGGATCATAATTAGGTAGCCTATTGTCTACTGTTGATTATGGGATCTTGTTTCCTGTCAGGCTGGTATGTGTATAGCCCTTTGGACTTCACGTTACGTTGTTTTCTTGTTTTATTTATGTTTATTGAGTTAAATAAACATGTACGCTTTTCACGCTGCACCTTGGTCTGACCCGTCTCTCAACGTTCGTGACAGAAGATCCCACCAAAAACGGACCAAGCAGCGTGCCCAGGAGCAGCAGACACCCTGGACACAGGTGGGGAAGTCATTTTGGACTTGGGAGGAGATATTGGCAGGTAAAGGACCCTGGGCGAAGGAGGAAGCCCAGGCAGGAGAGGATCAACGGCGACATCAACAGTGCCGGCCGAAGAGGAAGCCCGAGAAGCAGCCCCAAGAAACATTTTGGGGGGGCTCACGGGGTGGACGACGAGACAGCAGGAGGCCGGGAAAGGGCTGACTAGAGAGGAGGAGGCCGCTATTCTAGAGGTCCTCCAAGACCTGCGGATCGAGAGTCTGAGAGAGGAGGCCACCACGTTACGGGGGCTGTTAGATCAGAGGGAGCAGGAGGTATCCGTTCAGAGGGAGGCGCTACAGGAGGCTCAAAGGGAGAAGGAAGTAGTGGAGGCAAGGAGAGAGGAGCTGGTCAGGCAACAGAAGGAGCGTGTGTTCATAGAGGAACCTAAGTATGCGGAGATACGCACTGTGTCGCCAGTGCGCATGCACAGCCCAGTGCGTCCTGTGCCAGCGCCCCGCACGTGTCGTGCGAAAGTGGGCATCCAGCCAGGACGGGTTGTGCCGGCTCAACGCTCCTGGTCTCCAGTGCGCCTCCACGGTCCAGTATATCCTGCTCCGGTTCTACGCACTGTGTCACCAGTGCGCCTCATCAGCCCGGTAAGCCCCGTACCTGCTCCCCGCACCAAACCAGTGGTGCGTGTATCCAGTCCAGTACGGCCCGTCCCTGCTGCCCGCACCAAGCCAGTGGTGCGTGTATCCAGTCCGGCACGGCCTGTTCCTGCTCCTCGCACCAGACCTGTGGTGCTTGTCTCCAGTCCGGTCCGGCCCGTTCCTGCTCCTCGAACCAGACCAGTGGTTCGTGTCCCCAGTCCGGCCCGGCCCGTTCCTGCTCCTCGCACCAGACCTGTGGTGTGTGTCCCCAGTCCGGCCCGGCCCGGCCCATTCCTGCTACTCGCACCAGACCAGTGGTGCGTGTCCCCAGTCCGGCCCGGCCTGTTCCACCGGTGCCCAGTCCAGTTCCGGTCAGCGGCTCTACTCCGGCGCCAGAGCAATCCGCTCCACCGGTGCCTGATCCAGCTCCGGGCAGCGGCTCCACCCCGGAGCCAGAGCAGTCCGCTCCAACGGGTTCCAGTCCAGCTCCGGTCAGCGGTTACACTCCGGAGCCAGAGCAGTCTTCTCCACCGGGGTCCAGTTCAGCTCCGGTCAGCGACTCCACTTCAGACCCAGAAGTCAGCCCCTCTCCAGGTTCGGGGTCTTCCACACCAGGGTCCAGCCTATTGCCTACTGTTGATTGTGGGATCTTGTTTCCTGTCAGGCTGGTACAGTGGGGAATTTTTTTTTTTGTCAGCTACCAATTGTGCAAGTTCTCCCACTTAAAAAGATGAGAGAGGCCTGTAATTTTCATCATAGGTACACGTCAACTATGACAGACAAAATGAGGAAAAAAATCCAGAAAATCACATTGTAGGATTTTTTATGAATTTATTTGCAAATTATGGTGGAAAATAAGTATTTGGTCAATAACAAAAGTTTCTCAATACTTTGTTATATACCCTTTGTTGGCAATGACACAGGTCAAACGTTTTCTGTAAGTCTTCACAAGGTTTTCACACACTTGCTGGTATTTTGGCCCATTCCTCCATGCAGATCTCCTCTAGAGCAGTGATGTTTTGGGGCTGTCGCTGGGCAACACGGACTTTCAACTCCCTCCAAAGATTTTCTATGGGGTTGAGATCTGGAGACTGGCTAGGCCACTCCAGGACCTTGAAATGCTTCTTACGAAGCCACTCCTTCGTTGCCCGGGCGGTGTGTTTGGGATCATTGTCATGCTGAAAGACCCAGCCACGTTTCATCTTCAATGCACTTGCTGATGGAAAGAGGTTTTCACTCAAAATCTCACGATACATGGCCCCATTCATTCTTTCCTTTCAGTCGTCCTGGTCCCTTTGCAGAAAAACAGCCACAAAGCATGATGTTTCCACCCCCATGCTTCACAGTAGGTATGGTGTTCTTTGGATGCAACTCAGCATTCTTTGTCTTCCAAACACGACAAGTTGAGTTTTTACCAAAAAGTTCTATTTTGGTTTCATCTGACCATATGACATTCTCCCAATCATCTTCTGGATCATCCAAATGCACTCTAGCAAACTTCAGACGGGCCTGGACATGTACTGGCTTAAGCAGGGGGACACGTCTGGCACTGCAGGATTTGAGTCCCTGGCGGCGTAGTGTGTTACTGATGGTAGGCTTTGTTACTTTGGTCCCAGCTCTCTGCAGGTCATTCACTAGGTCCCCCCGTGTGGTTCTGGGATTTTTGCTCACCGTTCTTGTGATCATTTTGACCCCACGGGGTGAGATCTTGCGTGGTGCCCCAGATCGAGGGAGATTATCAGTGGTCTTGTATGTCTTCTATTTCCTAATAATTGCTCCCACAGTTGATTTATTCAAACCAAGCTGCTTACCTATTGCAGATTCAGTCTTCCCAGCCTGGTGCAGGTCTACAATTTTGTTTCTGGTGTCCTTTGACAGCTCTTTGGTCTTGGCCATAGTGGAGTTTGGAGTGTGACTGTTTGAGGTTGTGGACAGGTGTCTTTTATACTGATAACAAGTTCAAACAGGTGCCATTAATACAGGTAACGAGTGGAGGACAGAGGAGCCTCTTAAAGAAGAAGTTACAGGTCTGTGAGAGCCAGAAATCTTGCTTGTTTGTAGGTGACCAAATACTTATTTTCCACCATAATTTGCAAATAAATTCATAAAAAAATCCTCCAATGTGATTTTCTGGAGAAAAAAATTCTCAATTTGTCTGTCATAGTTGACGTGTACCTATGATGAAAATTACAGGCCTCTCTCATCTTTTTAAGTGGGAGAACTTGCACAATTGGTGGCTGACTAAATATTTTTTTCCCCCACTGTATGTGTATAGCCCTTTGGACTTCACGTTACGTTGTTTTCTTGTTTTGTTTATGTTTATTGAGTTTAATAAACATGTACGCTTTTCACGCTGCACCTTGGTCTGACCCATCTCTCAACGTTCGTGACGGTCCCTCTATATATATATATATAGTATAAATGTACTTGTCCATGATGGAATAAAACATTTAATGTAAAATAAAACAGGATTCTCACCTGCAAGGCTGAAGTTCAAGAGTAGAGCGACCAAGATCAGAGATCCCCGAAACATCTTCGTAGGAGGCACAAAATGAGAGACACGGTTAAAGAAAGTAGATGGAGAGTTGGAGTACTTGCTGTTATTTCAATGGCTGTCTGTGGGTTTCTGACACCTCTGAACAGAAAGTGCACAGAGCTGTAGCAGGAAGTTATAGGCTCATACTGGTGTCCGTTTTTAAATGTTAAAACCACACGGTTGTCCCCTCCCCACCCACAGAGATACAGTACGTGTCAACTTCAGTATGTGAGAAGAGAAGATAGAAACACAAACATGTACACATTTCTGATGCATACATTATTGCACTGTTCCTGGATACCTCATTATGTGCCATATTGTAATTAATAAGTATGGATACTGTGTAAGGCTACTTGTTAGTGTGATTAACTTTTTGAAAAACTTGTAATGTAAATATTAAATATGGTGGTCAGAAACGTAAACTTCTTCAACTTAGTATGATATCCATACACATGGCTAAATAAGAAGTTACTTTTCAGTGTGAGGGTGTTGACATGGTGTTGCATGTTTTCACTAAAGCATTGTTCACACTGCAGGCCTTAATGCTCAAATCCGTTTTGGAATACTGACTGTCCAAACAGCAAGTTACAAGTGACCAAATCGGATTTGTGCGTGTTCAGACAGCAGTCATTTGCTGACATGGCTATGCTAGTTGTCATAGTAACGACAGGTGTGTGCTCAGCAGTGTAGGCTGATTGGTGGTGGTGCTCCTGCTTCCTTTCACACAGAAGTTATGTAGCAAGCTAAGGCGAAAACAATGCCTGCCAAGGACATTTCCCAGTTGATTTGAATGTTCAAAATCATAGTGTAAGAACACTTTTAAAGCCTCAAAGGATATGATCCAACTTTCGAAATGAGTCCTTTTTGGCTAGCCACAGCAGACAACTAGCTAGGTGGCTGTTTAGCTTTCTAGCACATTCACTACTTTGTAAACAATTAACAAGCTAGTTAGCTACCAAATGTTATTGTCAAACTGTCAACAAAGTAGCTAGCAAACAACAAGATATGCCAAATAACATTCTAAAAACCACTTGAGGGCAAATAAATCAGATTTGACCATTCAGACACAAGTCGCATGGCCACGAATCAGATTTGGGGCTTGAAATATCCTATTCCATGTGCTTTTTGACTATTCAGACCGCAGGAAAAAGAACAGATTCGAATCAGAAATTCCAGAAAATAGGACGAGTCACTTCAAACTGCCAATGTGAACAAGGCTTAAGAGCCATATTGAATTGAGTAATGGGGTACTATGCAAAAAAAATTAATAAAGACAATGGGACTGATCAGGAAAAAAAAGTGTTTTAGGTAAGAAAGGGAAGTTTAAACTCAATCTGAATTATTTATCAATTCTTTATCCTTCTCTGAATTATGACGGAGCTCTGAGATCAGGGGTTAGAGATACTGAAGATTGAGGTCTTTAAACAGGAAGCACATATTCCATTACGTCTTTAATCATCTTCTCATCAATAGGCTAACAGTACTATTTTTGCTAAAAGGGCAGGATAATGATAACCAATATCCGGAAGTCTTGCAAAATTACATTCTGTTTCGCTACACAGAGTTCAGCAGTAATCAGTCTGGTAATATGAGGCTAGGAAAATGACAGACAGGGCTTCACACAATCACAACTCGGTGTGTGAGAAAGAGTAGTGACAGAGAGAACCGGTGCACAGGAAAATGTTTTAATAATGTCAAAAACATCTAGCACACTATACAAGCTACAATTATTAATAAAATAAACAATACAAGTCAAATCTACACATTTGTGTACAAGCAGTCCTCTTTTCCAAAAGTACAATTTTTGTTGAATTGCATTATCATAACTTAGGTATCATAAAAAATAGAAACAAACAAGCTCATCATATAAAATGTACTTAAACCCAAAATTCTAGCATGCATAAAAAACTGGAACAATCATTTGTATTCTGTCATCCAGATGTTCTCATCAGTTATGTCAACCAGTTCTGAACTTTGTTTCATTGGTTGTTCTCACAGAAATGAAGGGCATTTCAGTTCGAACTGCTTGAATAACAATGACTGGCAGTCATATTGTGGCTCAGTTGTCCAAAAGAAGGTAGACAACAGTTTGGAGCAGTTCAAGTCAACACCAGGCTGCCAGTTACGGTACGTCTTGGTTAGAACCGAGAGGTTTAGTGGTCAGAGAAGTGGTTCTTTGCCAGAGATGACCAGACAGCATTTCGTAGTTCACACATGGGTAAGGCTGTTGGATGTAGGAATCATACTGTGCTTGTTTTAATGTTTTACAATGTGGCACAATCTGGTGATTTGCTACGACTGCAGAGGACTTGCAGTGAGGATACAATCACGTCCCTGGTCAGAGGAAGATGGATGGAGGACAGTGGACACAGGGTAAAGACAAGAGGAGTCCATTCAAAAAAGCTTCATTGAATTACAGGTTATTCAGGACAGTCTGTCTGAGAAAGCTGTCCCAAGGCAGGGATGTATACTCAGTTTCTCATTCAATGTTACCAGAATCATGATAACATTTGTGTAAAAAGGCAAGCATAAAATGAAATGAGAGCCACATATACACAGAATATGTGACTCCTTACAACACACAGTCTCAGGTACAACAAGCTCAGGAATGTAGTTCCTTCCCAAACAGATTGAGATAGTTGGCCTACAGGCAACAAGAAACACCTTATCAATTCAATACATATACATTCAGTAATTTAAAAAAAAGTCACACCCTATATAAAAACAGGCCTCATCTTTCCTAATCATCACTTCCAAGCACAACAACACACTGGCAGTGGAAGCAGTATACCAACTTTGCAGTCAGCTGACTTACATTATAGTCATGTAGCAGATGCTCTTATCCAGAGCGACTTAAAGGAGCAATTATGGTTAAGTACCTTGCCCAAGGGCACACCGACAGATTTTCCAGCTAGTCTGCTCGGGGATTCGAACCAGCAACCTTTCGGTTACTGGCCCAACACTTTTAACCGCTAGGCTACCTGCCACCTTTGTGAGTTGTACTCTGATTGGTCCATTTGTAAGACATCAGGAAATGGAACAGAGAGGCCAATGACACAGCCCCTCTAACGGGGTCATGGCTAGAAGGGATCCAGCTTTTGTCAAATTAACGTCAGGTTTGACTTTTCGTAGCAGGTTAGGAGAACTTACACAGCAGGTTAGGATAATTAACGTAGCAGGTTAAGATAATTAGATTAAGAAAAGGGTTAGGGTTAGCTAAAATGCCACTTTTGACGTTAATTTGACAAAAGCTGGTTCTATTCTAGCCATGACCCTCTAGCGGTCAGCTAGGGATCTTTATGTGATGAGTCTACTACACAGTTATGTATTCCAGTGGTTGCAGTCAAAGTAGCAAAAATGCTGTTATTCATCAGAATAAATGTAGGCCTATGCTCCCTTTGGAAAAACAAGGGAATTGTACAGCGTATCATAAAGACATGGTCAAGGCATCCATCTTCGTCTATGGAAGATTGTAGCTTTATCACATTCTGTTAACATCCATGACAATGGTTCAATAGGAGATTACATGATGATCTAGCGCCCTGCGTATCCCAGTAGGATCAGGGGCCTCCACTGACCCCCTTTACACAGACGTCTCCGACTGCAGCCTCATCACAAACTTGTGGCTCTTGGGGTCGATAAACTCCTCACCGATACGCAGGAAGGGGAGAGGCTGTACCGTGACGACCAGGGAGAAGTCAAGGCGGCGCAGGGAGAAGACCAGACCCTGACGCAGGGCAGAGGTCACAGGCTCCTCGCTCACTAGAGTCCAATGGCGCCCCCTGCCGTTCTCACGCTGGTACTGCAAGGTAGGGCCCGGGCTGAGGTAACGCTCCAGGAAAGCCTGAAAATACAAAAATACAGCCTTTCAAAATCAACCTTAATGAGGAAGACCTGTGAATGGGTACAGAGAGGATGAGTACTTGAGCACAAGTGACTATTTGAATTGTAGATCTGATCAAATGCATGCCATTTATCCCAAAAGCTGTTGTAACATTATACCCAGGATGTAACAATGTATCCCTTCTCTTTGAGGGTTATACATTATAGACAAGTGAACGTGACACGTTGTTTCTCACCTTGGGGGTCATGTTGTGAGTGATGCAGAACTGCAGGTGGGTGAGGATGCTCTCCATGCTGTGGTATGGCTGCTGGCGCGTGGTCCTCAGGTACTTCTGCATGGCCCGGGCCATGGGGGCGAAGATGGCCTGAGCCGCCTCACGGGGGTCCATCACCTCACGGGGGTGTTTTGGGGACGATGCTGTGGGGTCATCATCCTGGAGACGCTTGATGTGGGTGAAGGCCTCTTCCACTGCCACTACCAGCCTGGACAACACAACAATCATCATTATGATAACCAAAAGCAGTATGATACAGGAGAACTCAATGGATAGTGTCATCAGTCATCATTACTGTGCCTGAAATACACTATTAAAGGGACTGGTCATTCACTAGCAACATACATAACAACAAGATTCACTGGCGCAAACAGAACAGTACAGGGACATTAACAGGGTTTGTCCCTCTAATCACTTAAAAGCATATTAAGGAAACAGGATGTTGTCTGTCTTACCTGGCCTTCCGCTTGCGGCACCTGCGGTCCAGCTCGGCCTCCTCATAGTAATACTCGCTGTGAGAGTTGTCTCTCCTGCGGGCTGCAGCAGCAATCATGGCCCGGGACTGACTGTTGGTGTTATTGGTGCTGTTCTCTGTGGATCAAGACATATACAGTACCAGTCAAAAGTTTGGACACACCTACACATTCAAGGGTTTTTCTTTATTTTGACTATTTTCTACATTGTAGAATAATAGTGAAGACATCAAAACTATGAAATAACACATATGGAATCATGTAGTAACCAAAAACATGTTAAACAAATCAAAATATATTTTATATTTGTGATTCTTCAAATAGCCACCCTTTGCCTTGATGACAGCTTTGAACACTCTTGGCATTCTCTCAACCAGCTTCACCTGGAATGCTTTTCCAACAGTCTTGAAGGAGTTCCCACATTTGCTGAGAACTTGTTGGCTGCTTTTCCTTCACTCTGAGGTCCAACTCATCCCAAACCATCTCAATTGGGTTGAGGTCGGGGGATTGTGGAGGCCAGGTCATCTGATGCAGCACTCCATCACTCTCCTTCTTGGTAAAATAGCCCTTACACAGCCTGGAGGTGTGTTGGGTCATTATCATGTTGAAAAACAAATGATAGTCCCACTAAGCGCAAACCAGATGGGATGGCGTATCGCTGCAGAATGCTGTGGTAGCCATGCTGGTTAAGTGTGCCTTGAATTCTAAATAAATCACAGACAGTGTAACCAGCAAGGCACCCCCACACCATAACACCTCCTCCTCCATGCTTTACAGTGGGAACTACACATGAGGAGATCATCCGTTCACCCACACCGCATCTCACAAAGACACGGCGGTTGGAACCAAAAATCTCCAATGTGGACTCCAGACCACCGGTCTAATGTCCATTGCTCGTGTTTCTTGGCCCAAGCAGGTCTCTTCTTCTTATTGGTGTCCTTTATTTGTGGTTTCTTTGCAGCAATTCGACCATGAAGGCCTGTTTCACGCAGTCCCCTCTGAACAGTTGATGTTGAGATGTGTCTGTGACTTGAACTCTGTGAAGCATTTATTTTGGCTGCAATTTCTGAGGCTGGTAACTCCAATGAACTTATCCTCTGCAGCAGAGGTAACTCTGGGTCTTCCATTCCTGTTGCGGTCCTCATGAGAGCCAGTTTCATCATAGCGCTTGATGGTTTTTGCAACTGCACTTAAAGAAACTTTCAAAGTTCTTGAAATGTTCCGTATTGACTGACCTTCATGCCTTAAAGTAATGATGGACTGTCGTTTCTCTTTGCTTATTTGAGCTGTTCTTGCCATAATATGGACTTGGTCTTTTACCAAATAGGGCTATCTTCTGTATACCCCTACTACATGATTCCATATGTGTTATTTCATAGTTTTGATGTCTTCACTATTATTCTACAATGTAGAAAATAGCAAAAATAAAGAAAAAACTTTGAATGAGTAGGTGTGTCCAAACTTTTGACTGGTAGTGTACATCAGTCAGTGGATGGATGGATGAATGGTGGTAGGGGTTGGTTGGTTGGTGGATGAATGGATGGATGGGGAGATGAGGTAGAGAGATAAAGTAAGTAGTCTACAATGCTATTTACCGTCCAGAGAGTAGACTTTGAATCCAGACATCTTCTTGGAGAGGATGGACTTGGGCAGGTTGAGCAGAGCAGGGTTGTAGACAGGGAAGTCCCTGTAGTACTGATCCAACACCCACACTGCTGCCCTCTGGATACTGGAACACACAGACACCATTAATATCAGCATCACATTGAGCATACAGAAGCAGCTATAATGCACATACTTGCCCTGTGTAAAAACATGACATGACGGACCATCATCATCATAATCTTTATCATCGTGTTAGTAATGATCATCCTCATCCTATGACACACCACAGTCACACACAGACAGCACAGACTGACCTGAGGTGTCCCACGTTGTAGAAGCGGCTAGCCCCATCTGTGGTGCGCACCACCTTGAGGCAGAAGGCAGGCTGCAGGTGTCTGACCTCCAGCAGCACCAGGGCCAGGTACTGGATGAAGAGCAGCGCATCCACCAGCGATGCCGCATACTCCACGATGCCTCTATAGTCCCTTTCCCGGGGCTCCAGCACACGCACGCCATAGAACAGCCAGTAGGACGCCACAAACAGGAACACCAGCACCATGAGAAGGCAGCGGAAGATGAAGAAGCGGGGCAGGGTGGCGCGCGGCGGGCGCAGGAACAGCGCCCAGGAGGAGATGAGGAGAACCAGGAGCTTGAAGGCCAGAGAGACGTAGAGGCCTTCACAGGGCGTGCCGCAGGGCTCCAGGGCCTCGCGCCACAGCAGCTGGGGGAGGACCAGGAAGGCCAGGGGGGTGAACAGGGCGAACAAGCCCAGGCAGCCGCCCAGCACAGGCCCCAGGAAGCGCTTGCATTCCAGGGGAGACGATTCCTCCAGCTCCTTGGAGACGCGCGTCAGGTCCTCGTTGGACACGCTGTGTTCTGATGTGCCTGTGACCACGGTGGTGGTCTCACCCCAGTTGTCATCCTGCAGACAGGGACAGAGACAAGACATGGTGTAAACGTAGAGGAGTGATTGAGGGGGGCTTTAATGAGATATGAAAGGATAGAGTTTTTCTGACCACATAACCTGATCTGAGTTTTTCCTGGTTAGGTCACATTTTACATTTTGCAGACGCTCTTATTCAGAGCGACTTACAGTTAGTGAGTGCATACATGTTTTTTTTCATACTGGCCCCCTGTGGGAAACGAACCCACAACCCTGGCATTGCAAACGCCATGCTCTACCAACTGAGCTACACGATCAGGAAAACCTCTGGCCCTATTATGAGATAAAGATTTAGAGAAAAAAATATGGAGATCTAGAAGTGTTGGAGAGGAGAAGGTTGTGATTCTGTCTGACCCTGTCATCTCCACGGGTGGACTCTGCGTCTAGTAGTGGCTCCCCAGGGGCCTGGATGGTGACAGACTTGTCTCCACGGCTACTGCCGTCTCTGCTCTTGGAGCGATGCCTGTCCCTCCGATCCCTGGAGTACAGAAACAGGACAACCACACAGTTATGTCAGCGTGCTAAGCCCCTGTCCTTGTGTGACCGAAGCTTGTGGGTACATGTGTGATCCGTGTGTGTGGTTGCTCATCAATGTACCCATTGACTAATGGATCGATGTATATTACACATGCCTTTGATCTTAGTGTTTAACTAAAATGTGTGGAATGATTGTTTAAAGTGTGCGTGCATGCTTGTGTGTATATGTGGTTTTTGGGGGGCATTTGTGACCACCCTTCTGGTACCTGTGCTTGCGAGAGCTGCGGGAGTGGGACGACTTGTAGGAGTAGCCCGAGTACTGTGACTCGTTGTCCATGTCTCGGGTCGGTGGGCAGGGTTTGCGGGCCCCTCCTCCCCCCGTGCCTCGTTCCCTGGCTCCGCCCAGCTGGCTCTTGCGCTCAGAGATGGACTTGGTGGATAGGGCCAGAGGCAGCTTCAGCAGGTCAACCTTACTCCTGAAGGAATCTATTTTGGAGGCCAGAGGACAGGGAGAAGAGCCCACCAGATAGAGGGAATCAGGGAAACGATTGACTAGAGAAAGGAGAGGAAGAAGAAGAAAATAATACACTAGACAGGAGGAAAGGGAGAGAGATAAAAAGATAGGAGGGGGGTGTTGAAGTGGACAGGCCCTGAAATAGAGGAGAGAAGGGGTAGAATTAGTGACAAAGTGGCAAAAACTAACTCCTATCCCTAATCTGTGGTGTTTAAATCCAACCTGTTTCTGTCCAACCTGTTTCTTGGTATTTGACCCTGACTGTCTGCGCAACTCAACACGACGTTAGCCAATTGAGCTAAAATATGTTAGCTCTAGGAGTGAATATAAGCTTTCAGATCTCAGGCAAGGTTGGCCCTCACGTGAGCGTAGTTCTACAGGCCATAAGACTGCAGTGAGACGAGGTCCAGGAAAGCCTACAGATGTGATACAATGGCGGCCACATTGGATTACTGTGTTTTCCCAAACTTATTTAGGCCTCTCCCTCTCTTTCCCCATCTCACATTCCCTCTTGGTCTCCCTTGGTCCCCTGGGTAACAGGGCCTCTCCGCTGCTATGGTGATGAAAGAGGGTGTTCAGCTGGAGGGGATTTGAGGTTGATAGTTTCCATGGAAACCTGACCTTACGCCACCCTCTCGTACCCTGAGGAAAATGCCCCCTAAATACAAGTGTTTGTGTGACTGTCTTGTCTCATGCTTAATTGATATGGGCACTATGTTAATTGTATGGGCTAACCATGTTAATTGGAGAGCTTGATGTTAATTGGAGAGCTTAATGTTAATTGGAGAGCTCGATTTGTCACGTGGGGCGATAGTCAGTCATAGCCTTGCAGGGCATTAAATTAAACAACTCCACCAAAATGCCATTCTATTCTCAAGTTCCCTCCTTCTATAAAAAATAGAAAAGTCTGTGTGTCTGCTCGCACAAGTTGACATAAGCCTCGTCTTGGTAGAGTGCCCCACTGTTTATGCTAATAAATTCATTTTAGCCTTTGTACCCACCAATAAAAACCTATGAGCCCCATCGCATATGCTGAACTTCAGCTCCCATCGCATGCTGAAAATAAACACAATCTATAAATCAGTCTCTGTGGAGGTGCTGTGCAAAGGATGTGCGTAAAAATGTATGCGTAATGTATAGGCATACTCCTGAAATTGTAGACAATGTAGGCTACGCTACATAGTGCGGAGCTGGGAGAAGACACATGCTCATCCCAGCTTCCTGTTAGTATTCCCATGATCTGGACTTGATCCCCAGGGACAGACTAGGCTGTCTGCTTGATACTGGGGATATGATGAACACCTGATCCATCAAGGTGTGGTCTGCTGGAGAGATGTATAGGCCTAGATAGAGTTTCCTTTCCCTATTCAACCCTGTGTGTCCTGTGACCCAGTTAATTAACTGTGCGGTGGTGGTGACTCCTCACCCGACTAACGCCAACCTCACTAAACCACATCATCACGTCATAAAGGCTAACCAGAGACCATGTAATTAGAGTTGGGCCATTGAGGTTTCTGCATTTTGATGCATTAACATGACACTCCAACATTATGTGGCAGCCATGTTATCGCCTCATTAACATTACATGGGGAATATTTAAATAATGGTATGTCTAGAATTAGAACAATATTAAAAATGTAAAGAATTGGCCCAACTCTCTAAATACACAGCTCTGAGGCTAACCATACCATAGCAATCTAAAACATAGAAGGCTGTCAGATGCATCTGCCTGTGATTGTAGAAAATCGCTGCAACTCCCCAACGGGCTCGGGAGAGGCGAAGGTCGAGTCATGCGTCCTCCGAAACATGACCCGCCAAACCGCGCTCCTTAACACCCGCCCGCTTAACCCGGAAGCCAGCTGCACTGTGTTTTCGGAGGAAACACCGTCAGCCTGCAGGCGCCCGGCCCGCCACAAGGAGTCACTAGAGCGCAATGAGCCAAGTAAAGCACCCCGCTAAACCCCAATTGTGCGCCGCCTGGGATCGAACCCGGGTCTGTAGTGACAACTCATGCAGTGCCTTTGGCCACTCGGGAGGCCCCCATTTATTTATTTAACCTTTATTTTAACAGGTCGTCCCATTGAGACCATAGTCTCTTCAGAGATGATGATCCAGTCAGACAAGCCAACGGCAGGGCTTTCCTGACAGTGTATAAAATATGATGCACGTCTCGTTGCCTCCCAGTGAGTATCACAGATGCCTTGCCTTCTCTGAGTACATTACACATCTCTCTTCACATTACTCTACACCAATACCTAGACTACCATAACAGCACACATGCCTGCCAAATGACACCACCATCTCCTTCCTCTCTCACAAAACTTAATCCCTTAATGTCGCTTGGTAAATATAAGCAGGGGAGGTGATATACCCCTAACTACATGCCCACACAGAGAGACCATTCAAAACCATTTTTACAATTTACAGTTTCTTTTTTTCCCCTTTCCTTTTTTACAACTGAATGAAATCATAATCCAAACTTTCACCAACTGCTTGAGGGAGTGGCAAAGTCCAAACAGAAACAATTATCAGTGTCAAAGCGGTATGTTACTTCATGTCAGTGTAATATGAAGGCAAAAACAGACAACTGTGCACTCTCAACCCTTGTGCCCAATCTGCCCATGTGATATGAAGTGGAGCAGGTGTTTGTACAATACAATGTGGAAGATAGGGTGTGGTCAAATCAATAGATTATGGACTGGACAGTGCAGTCTTGTTACAATTATTACACGAGGGGCAAGACAATTTACCAAACACACCTAGCCAACACAAACTATGATGTGCCCATAAGCCATATTCAAGCCCATGCATGGGTTAGAGGTTACCACTGTCCCAAGTCTTGCCTCTGTCACCATTGACTTTGCCTCATCTATAGGCCTATGACTTGTTGGCCTGTTTATTATGAGAGCCACGGCAGCTGGGACAATAGCCTGGGCATTGGGAACTCTACAGTAGTCCAAGCAAAAGCTAGTGGCCGACTACTACATGATAAAAGTAGGCATAAGATGAGCAAAATAATAATATTGTACCAAGCTGTTATTTTGTTGATATATTTTGGATGATTGCAGTGGCAAAGTTGGTTAATTGTTGTACTTTCATAAGCTTCTGATAATTTTACAAGACCATTTTGATTTCATTATGCTTAACACAACAGTTAACTCAAACCTAACATAACTTTGAAATGAAAACGTTGTAATTGTGTACATTTTAGTCATTTAGCAGAAGCTCTGACTTAACAGGAGCAATTAGGGTTAAATGCATTGCTCAAGGGCACATAGACAGATTGTATCACCTAGTTGGTTCGGGGATTCGAACCAGCGACCTTTCGGTTACTGGCCCAACGCTCTTAACCACTAGGCTACCTGCTGCCCAGTTTTTGTAATTTACTTTGATCTGAAATTAAAACAAGCACCAACATTTGAGCTGCTGAAGTATTCTACATACATACTACATACATTTAGTCTCTAGACTGGAGAATACATTTGTAACATGCATAGCAGCAGTCATTTTTCCAATGTTACAATCTTGTTACAATGGGAACAATCCTTGCTACGATGTTGCAACAATGTTACAAACATGTACTTCAGCCACCAGCTGAATCAGATACACTGTAGCTAGCTATATTCGTAACATTGGGACATGCCTCAGCCTCATTTCGTGCCCAGCCTGTTTGTAACAGGGACCAACATGAAGGTCCATTAATAATTAAACCTCACAACCACAAAGGACTGAATGAAACAATAACCTGTTACTACATGAGCAATAAACTAGCAAACAAAACATGTTAACCGAAGATTCAACTACGAAAAATAAGTTATAAACGCCAATTTTATGCAACATCAGCATGAATGTTTCCTCCATTTAGAGGGTTAGGGCAAACAATGGGGCGAGACTGGCATTTCCCGTTGGCGAATATTTTCACCCTTTTCTTTTCGAAAGGGAAAACCCTGGATGAATGGATCATGCACATTGAAATAAACACCAACCTTCAGCGAAAATTCTCACGAAGCTTGAACCCAAGTATCCTCTCCGAGTCTAGATCCCATGCCGTCGCAATGAGGGTAGGCTACTTCCTCCCAAATTGTTGGGGACTCAGGACTCAATTCTTCGAACCGTCCGATATCTGGTTAGATACCGTAGATAAGTGTCCAGGGTGAAAATAACAATAGGCCCGATCAGGGGTCCTCTCTAAACTTCCCTGCAGCTGCGGTCTCGAGCGATAAGCGACTTATTGTTTAGGAAACATGAGACCCTAGCGCCTATTTATTTTATCTTCCCCTGTACTTCAATGGTCAATGATGTCCAAACATTGTTCTCTATACCTATCCACACTGAAAAAAACATTTTCCACCCCAAAAAACTACTTAGCTGTCCCAAAATATACATTCAGGTATTTTCTCACTTTCCTCTTCCCCCCCCTCCTCCTCCTCAACCGTAGCACCCTGCCGCCCGCCCCGGATTCATTGCCCCTCCTCCACTCCTTTCTTCTTGTGGAACCTCAAGGCTGATGATGTAGCTAACTTCAGGCCCTCCAATGTAATATACTACTTAGAACTAGTACTAAAACTCCAATATCAAATGTACAGTGCCTTCAGATATTCACACCCCTTGACTTTTTCCACATTTTCTTGTGTTACAAAGTGAGATTAAAATGGATGTAATTGTCTTTTTTTTGTGAACGATCTACACAGAATACTCTGTAATGTCAAAGTGGAAGAAAAATTCCAACATTTGTAAAACATGAATACATCTTGATTAGATAAGTATTCAACCCCCTGAATCAGTACATGTTAGAATTACCTTTGGAAGTGATTACAGCTGTGAGTTTTTCTGGGTAACTCTCTAAGAGCATTCCACACCTGGATGGTGAAACATTTGCCCATTATTCTTTTCAGAATTCTTCAAGCTCTGTCAAATTGGTTGTTGATCATTGCTAGACAACCATTTTCAAGTATTGCCATAGATTTTCAAGTAGATTTAAGTCAAAACTGTAACTCTGCCACTTAGGAACATTCAATGTCTTGGTAAGCAACTCCAGTGTAGATTTGGCCTTGTGTTTTAGGTTATTGTCCTGTTGAAAGGTGAATTCATCTCCCAGTGTCTGGTGGAAAGCAAACTGAACTAGCGTTTCCTCTAGGATTTTGCCTGTGCTTAGTTCCATTCTGTTTCTTTTCCTAAAGAACTCCCCAGTCCTTAACGATTACAAGCATACCCATCACATGATGCAGCCACCACTATGCTTGAAAATATGAAGTGTGGAACTCAGTAATGTGTTGTATTGGATTTGCCCCAAACATAACACTTTGCTTTCAGGACAAAAAGTTAATTGCTTTGCCACATTTTTTTGCAGTATTACTTTAGTGCCTTGTTGCAAACAGGATGCATGTTTTGGAATATTTGTATTCTGTACAGGCTCCTTTCTTTTCACTCTGTCAATTAGATTAGCATTGTGTAGTAACTACAATGTTGTTGATCCATCCTCAGTTTTCTGCTATCACAGCCATTAAACTCTGTAACTGTTTTAATGTCAGCTTTGGCTTCATCATCAAGGACCCCACACACCCCAGCAACAAGCTGTTCTCTCCCTTATCTCACCATGCTCAACGGGATATTCAATGCCTAGTTTATTTATTTTTACACATCAATAGGCGCCCTTCTTTGCGAGGCATTGGAAAACCTCCCTGGTCTTTGCAGTTGAATCTGTATTCGAAATTCACTGCTCAACTGAGGGACCTTACAGATAATTGTGTGTGGGGTACAGAAATGAGGTAGTCCATGCAATTTATGTGACTTGTTAAGCACATTTCCTGAACTTATTTAGGCTTGCCATAACAAATGGGTTGAATACTTATTGACTCAAGACATTTCAGATTTTCATTTTTAATTTATTTGTAAAAATGTATAAAAAACATAATTCCCCTTTGACATTATGGGGTATTTTGTGTAGGTCAGTAAAAAAAAGAAGAAAAAAAAGAAGATATTTAATCCATTTGAAATTCAGGCTGTAACAACAAAATGTGGAAAAAGTCAAGGGGTGTGAATACTTTCTGAAGGCACTATATGTAATTGCATACTGCAGTATGTTCTCCTGTCCTAGACCATGTCCTGTACCAAAACCATGCCGGAAAATAGTAGAGAAGCAACACTAGACGATGTTTATTTAGTTATCAAGGCAATAATCACATTTATTCCACAGTTGGTCAGAATCAGAGATCCCCTTCACATACAACCCCCCCCCCCCCCCCCCCCCCCCCCCCCCCCCCCCCCCCCTGCAACCCAAATAAAAAAATACTATTTCGATATCCGAATGTTTAAGTATAGTACCCACATCCATAAGTATAGAACCCACATCCATTTTGCCGACATACGGTTTAATTCTCCTGAGAAATGACAGATCAGTATACTAAAGAGAAAGGAAAGCTATTCTACATACACTACCGGTCAAAAGTTTTAGAACACCTACTCATTCAAGGGTTTTTCTTTATTTTTTTTACTATTTTCTACATTGTAGAATAATAGTGAAGATGTCAAAACTATGAAATAACACATATGGAATCATGTAGTAACCAAAAAAGTGTTAAACAAATCAAAATATTTGGTATATTTGAGATTCTTCAAATAGCCACCCTTTGCCTTGATGACAGCTTTGCACACTCTTGGCATTCTCTCAACCAGTTTCATGAGGTAGTCACCTGGAATGCATTTCAATTAACAGGTGTGCCTTGTTAAAAGTTAATTTGTGGAATTTCTTTCCTTCTTAATGCGTTTGAGCCAATCACTTGTTGTGACAAGGTAGGGGGGGGGGTATACTGAAGATAGCCCTATTTGGTAAAAGACAGAGTCCATATTATGGCAAGAACAGCTCAAATAAGCAAAGAGAAACAACAGTCCATCCTTACTTTAAGACATGAAGGTCAGTCAATACGGAACATTTCAAGAACTTTGAACGTTTCTTCAAGTGCAGTCGCAAAAATCATCAAGCGCTATGATGAAACCTGGCTCTCATGAGGACCGCCACAGGAATGCTGCAGAGGATAAGTTCATTAGAAATTGCAGCCCAAATAAATGCTTCACAGAGTTCAACAGACACATCTCACCATCAACTGTTCAGAGGAGACTGTGGGAATCAGGCCTTCATGGTCGAATTGCTGCAAAGAAACCACTACTAAAGAACACCAATAAGAAGAAGAGACTTGCTTGGGCCAAGAAACACGAGCAATGGACATTAGACCTGTGGAAATGTGTCCTTTGGTCTGGAGCCCAAATTTGAGATTTTTGGTTCCAACCGCCGTGTCTTTGTGAGACGCGGTGTGGGTGAACGGATGATCTCCGCATGTGTAGTTCCCACCGTAAAGCATGGAGGAGGAGGTGTTATGGTGCTTTGCTGGTGACACTGTCTGTGATTTATTTAGAATTCAAGGCACACTTAACCAGCATGGCTACCACAGCATTCTGCAGCGATACGCCATCCCATCTGGTTTGGGCTTAGTGGGACTATCATTTGTTTTTCAACAGGACAATGACCCAACACACCTCCAGACTGTGTAAGGGCTATTTTACCAAGAAGGAGCGTGATGAGTGCTGCATCAGAAGACCTGGCCTCCACAATCCCCCGACCTCAACCCAATTGAGATGGTTTGGGATGAGTCGGACCGCAGAGTGAAGGAAAAGCAGCCAACAAGTGCTCAGCATATGTGGGAACTCCTTCAAGACTGTTGGAAAAGCATTCCAGGTGAAGCTGGTTGAGAGAATGCCAAGAGTGTGCAAAGCTGTCAAGGCAAAGGGTGGCTATTTGAAGATTATCAAATATAAAATATACTTTGATTTATTTAACACTTATTTGTTTACTACATGATTCCATATGTGTTATTTCATAGTTTTGATGTCTTCACTATTATTCTATAATGTAGAAAATAGTACAAATAAAGACAAACCCTTGAATGAGTAGGTGTTCTAAAACTTTTGACCGGTAGTGTACGACAACCGCATCCTCAACAAACACACTTGCACACACTCACTCACCTCCCATTTGGTGATGGGTGCCTAATCCCATGATACAGTAAACAAAATATTATTTGATAAAACAAAAAAACAGAAACATGAACATATTTTACACTGACCAGTGCAATCTGACCCAGACCAGTGCAATCTGACCCTGGTGAGTCCACATCCATCCAGCCCAATCAAATCCAGTTATGTGTTAAAACTCATCTGTGCGAGTCCATCAGGCCATTCACGGAGTTAAAACAACCAGTTCTGCCTAACCTGTCTGTCGGTCCGCCTAACCTGTCTGTCTATCTGTCTGTGTACCTATCATGTGTAAAAAAAAAAAAACAGCTGTCTGTCCTGTTTGGTTGTGAGAGTAGTGGTCGCTGGTCACAGGTTAGTATGAGGCAATCAGTATGCGGCTCTGGCGGGTTCCCTGACGTCGCTGAAGAGGACATCTGCCTTGGTACTGACAAAGTATGTCACCAGTAGGGATGTGAACAATACGGCCACTCCCACGCCTAAGGTCAGCACCTATGAGAGAGAAATGAAGAGGAAAGAAAAGGTAAATAATTTGATTCTTTTCTACCATCAACTCTATCAACCAATGAATACAGTCAAACGTGTAGAAATCAAAACAGAACTACTTTAACGTAAACAACAAAACTGTAATTGATTAAACAAATGGATCACGGTGGGAAAATTGAGTGCAGTTTTACCTCCAGGTCCCGGCTGGCTACTAGGAAAATTCTAGCTTTGATGAACTTCCACTGCGATTCTGTCCACGTGGAATATTCTTTGGAAGTGTAATCCTCCAGCTCGAAGGCAGGGGACTCTGCCTTGGCCAGGCGTACTGCTGCGCGTACGCAGAAAGACTCCCTCTGGGTGCTGTTGGGTGGGACCATGCCCTGAACCCAGAGATAGGAGTACATCTGAGGGAGAGAAGGAGCGAATCAGAGTGTGGTGGGGTTCCAGCAATACAGTGTGCAAATAAACACATTTTTGTTATTTGTAAACAGCTGTACATCTATCCATCAGCACAGACGGACAGATCCAGTAGCACATTTACATGTGTGCTCTCGTTCGGCAGCTCATCTGGCTTCTGGCACTGGCTCTGGGTGAGGTTGGTGGCTGTTCCCGTTAAATTGGCCAGGAGATATTGGACCAGACTGGTCAGTGCCTTTGCCTGATGGGACGACCTGGCAACCCCAACGTAGTACTGCGGTGGGTTGGGCTCTGAGAGACAGAAAACACAACGCAATGAAGACCCAAGTACCTTCTTTATGTATGTGAATGTGTCTGTGACTAGTCCATATCTGCATGTGTGTTTACGACGTCGGTAGTAGCAGAATGCCTCTGTAGTGTCAAAGGGTGTGTCCCTGTGAAAAAGTATCAGACTAAAACTCACGGAGAAAGTCCTTCAGTTCTGGGGCCATCACTGCCTGAAACCAGCTGTTGTTGGATCTAACCAGAAACCCATACAGCATCTGGGTCACCTGAGAGAGAGATGCATAGTACTGGTCAAACAATTCTGCTCACTGTCCCAAAAACTTGAATTTTAAAAGATGTTAGACGTTGAGAATGAACAAGTGACATATGTTAACAGACATTGACAGTGTCATGGAAAATAACAGACTATAACAGTATGACTGATCAGTTTGACATGTACAACAGCTGAACAGGTCATCAATCATCGGGTCTTACCATTTTGGGGTCTGCGTTGATGTTGTTGACTTGGGCGTCATTTCCCCCAGCCTGCTTGTAGAGAGCGCGGGCAACCGCAGTAGCCACCTCGGTAAGAGACTGAAAGAGTACAGTGAGGGAGGGAAGAGCGAGAGATATTATTGTAACAGACAGTGGACAATGTAATGGAAACTGTGACTACTACAAATAAATCCACCATTGGGTTTACTATGGTAACAATACCTTTGCAGTATCAGTAACAAACTCTAGCTGTTCCTCTGGACTCAAGTTAGATGGATAAGTCAGGTTCAGGTGGGCAGCGTTGTCGTAAAAACTCTCATAGTACCTGCACATTGGTAAACAGGCTAGAACACTCCTCACTACTAATAAAATCAATATCAGGCAAGATAAAGATTGCAGTAATAAAAATGAACAGCAACGACGGCCCATAGTCAAACACTCACCTGTTGTTGAAAGCAGTTTGATGGTCTGCAAGCACAATCCCTGGAATTGCCCGAGCTCGGAGGAAACGCTGGAGGGAGGAGGGCGGGAGTGGCTGAGAAAAACCTGCCTCAACCAATGAGAAGTTGAGCCCAGCCGTGGAGGACTGCAAGTTGTTCACAAGATTCGTAACCTGAAACAGAGGAAGAGGTTGGTAAAAGAGGGTTGAGAATGAGCATATGTGGTCCTCTGTAGCTCAGCTGGTAGAGCACGGCGCTTGTAACGCCAAGGTAGTGGGTTCGATCCCCGGGACCACCCATACACAAAAAATGTATGCACGCATGACTGTAAGTCGCTTTGGATAAAAGCGTCTGCTAAATGGCATATTATTATTATATTATTATTATAATGAAGAGAATATAGAAAAAAGGGGTGGATGGGATGGACCAGACAAGAGAGGCACAAATAGAAGCATTTCACTCCACCTTACCTCGTTATTGACGGTGTAGTTCCTCCTGGACACAGGGTCTGAGTGGAGAAATAGGTTGGCGCCACTGCGCACGGCTACCTAACACATTACATAACAGATGAATCGTTATTTGTTGATTGTATATCCATGTGTTTTACTCATTGATGCCTGTTGTTTGCTTGAGTATTCAATGAGAACATATACATATGTCTTAACCTGTCCAATCTCCAGTATTGAGTGAACATTGTCCAGGTCTATCACAAACTTGTCATTCTTCATGTCGTAAACCATTCGAGAGCTGCCAATGTAGTCAAATACTTCCTGAAAGAGAGGAATAAGCTATAAACATCCTCTCTCATACAGTACAACAACACTAAACAATACTGCTATATGATAAAGTGACCACATAATTGACATACCGCAGATTGACTTGCTCAGGGAGACAGAAGGAACTCACCCCTTGGAAGAAGGCAAAGAGGATATTCCGTGTGGGAGGGGCCTCCTGAGTGACTTCACGTAGTGCCTGGGCAGCAGCCAGCAGAGTGACAAACCCTGAGATACTCCCCTCCGCTCCTGTAGAATCCTGCAAGAAAAATGACCTGCTATCCAGCTACAAAAACGGAGAAAGATGCAAAGTGTCCAGTAAATTGTCCATAAACTCCAAACAAGGAAAAACCATGAAGGAAATGGTACTGAGCAAATTACCAAAGCACTTTTCAGGATGTGTATAACACACACTAGAATGTGGCTCATCTTGTATCTACTATTTTGCAGATTTCAAAAGGCTTAGACATCTGTGAACATGTGACAAGATGTGTCAGTGGGAGGCAGGGCCTCAATGTGTCACTCACCCTGGCTGCTGCTATAACGACGCTCTCATTCTCCTTGTGACCAAAGGCGGTGTTGTTATAAGGTCGGATGGAAGCCCACACATTATAATCACCAAGAGGGTCACACACTATCACTGTGACAGAGAGGGGAGAGAGCGAGAGAGATGTCTGTGAGATTTACATGACAGTGTGTGTATTGACTATTCACGCATACACAATAATGCATCTTTGTATACCTGGGGAGCTGCTGAAGTCGATGTTTTTGCGTCTAATGCAGGTTGCAGTGTCAGTGACAGCATACATATGAGAGAAGAGCTGCATGGCACACAGAGGGTACTGCAGGCCACTGCCGTTCACCGCACGATTATGATCAAAGTAGCACTGCAGGTAGAGAGTGGATACATTTATCAGAATGAAGAGCACATTGTTTTAATACACAGAAATACTGTAGAATAAGACATCACCTCTGTTCTTTGGATAAAGACAGTTTATTGTCAGTAAGTGACATGATTTTACCAGACTGGGTTGTGACTGCTTGAAGTGACTCCTCACCTGTTTGATGACCTCTGTTTCGTTGTCTTCTTTCAGGGAGAAGACAGGGAAGTCAAATTCCTCATAGGATAGACCGTTCCCCTGAGGGTTCCATACAGTCGTGTTACAGTGCGCCAAATTATGATCATAGGTGTCCGTGTATACACCTGAGGATAAAAGTAAACAAACAACATTCAAAAAGCATGCTGGTTAGCAAAGATCATATGGTCATTTTGACGGACTGGAGTCCTAACATCTGATCCACCTACCTGTGTTCTCATTGGGGCATGTCGTATGTGGCGAGAACTCTGGTGGGCTAGTTTTTAGGACCACCACAACCCCTGCCACCCTGCTGGAGGCATTCTTCATCTTCATCATGATGGACCTGTAAAATGAAGACAATGTTTGAGTATGACGGGGCTACTAGGATATAGATCATATCATTGTGGTGCTGAACAATAGTGAGTGTGTTCCAACTTTGTTCTGGAGGTGAATGGAGATGGAGTTGACTGTTTTTGGCTGTGTGTAGCCTACCTGGTGAAGAGGGATGACTCCAACAGGACCATATAAGGAGGATTGGGTCCTTTGCTCAAAGGCCATTCCAGATCTGCCTCAGACTCCAAGACATGGATCACCCCTGTATCACCTGATATCGAGGCTGAGACACAGGATAGAAAAAATGCTTGTCTTAATATGCAAATGTTCAACAGTTTGTATTCCAGCATTACAAAAATACAGCAAGGACACAGAGCACAGTATTGTACCGAGCAGAGTGTGTGGGTCATGTCACTCACACTGGCAACCAATCTGATGTGTAGCATTGAGCAGTCGGACGCATGGTACAGTGTTATTCAGCTCGACATAAATCTTCTGCGCAACAGAGTTACAACTCACATCTGAAAGACAAAAGGAGAAATACAATTGAATTGAAGTGGCCAGTTTCTGTAATGATGTATTCCCAAGACACCAAACCAAATCAAATGTTATTGGTCGGTACACAGTTTAGCAGCGAAATGCTTATGTTCATAGTTCCTATCAATTAATGCAGTAACTGCCAATAAGCACAACATTTTTTTTTTGTACAGTAGTAGATATATAAATAGAATGTCAACATTATATACACGTCTAATGTTCTTTCATCCTGAGTCACCCTAAAGCCTACATATACTGAACAAAAATATAAACGCAACATGTAAAGTGTTGGTCCCATATTTCTCTCACATTTTGCACACAAATTTGTTTACATCCCTGTTAGTGAGCATTTCTCCCTTTGCCAGGATAATCCATCCACTTGACAGGTGTGGCATATCAAAACGCTGATTAAACATCATGATCATTACAAAAGTGCACCTTGTGCTGGGGACAATAAAATGCCACCCTAAAATGTGCAGTTGTGTCACACAACACAATGCCACAGAAGTCTCAAGGTTTGAGGGAGCGTGCAATTGACATGCTGACTGCAGGAATGTCCCCCAGAGCTGTTGCCAGAGAATTGAATGTTCATTTCTCTACCATATGCTGCCTCCAACTTCATTTTAGAGAATTTGGCAGTACTTCCAACCGGCCTCACAATCGCAGACCACGTGTAACTAGGCTGGACACAACATTTTTAACAACGCTTTTTTCTGATAAAAACTAGTTCATTGCATCCGCCGTGGAGCCCAGTTTCATAATATTACCATATGTCCCAGCTGCTTGCCGTAGTTTTGAAGTAATCACGAAAAAACAGGCCTTATTTCAGGGTATTTTTCACCCTGCCAGCTCCAATTAGTTCCATTGAGCACCGTGACACCAACTCGCCTTCCGAATGTTTTATTCCCAGCCCATTGTTCTACGTCACAATGCCTGATTCGCTATTGTTGGCAATGAGACCTGCCCAGGTTGAACCAATTGCTGGTAGTTAAAACGTCAACAACAACATAAAATTACTCATGGAACTCTGAGGTCGTCCCATTGTGTATATTTCGATTTTTTAAAGTCGGGCACCATTTCAATTATGTAAAGCTGGGCAGCGTACTCAGTTGTCGTCAAACGCTAACCCCTAAATACTTTTTGCCCTTGGAACGCTGAACTCCCCCCATTGTTTTCCTATGGAGAGGCATGCTGGTATATTTCGCCAAATATCTCGCAATGTGCACATTTAGATTTTTTCAAGTAGGACACCATTTTAATCACGACAATCTTCTCTTTCTAATTATGTAAGGCTGGGCAGCGTACTCCGTTGTCATCGATCACTAGACCAGAAATAGTCAGAAGTTGCCATTTGTTTCCTACTTCCTCGTTATGCAGACATATGCACAGTTGACACCATCGAGGTGTGGATGTTTACTTTCTACACAATATGTTATTTTTCAGTTTCGTCCTAAGAACAGATTGTAGTGGTAAATTGAAAAGGTATACATGTTTTGGTGCCATTTAGGCAAAATTGAATTTCTAAGCATAATTCCAGTCAAAATAGGCTCTGCGAATGTTCGATTCAATTCATTTGCTATGGGCTCGCGCTAGTTTTCCAGCTTAGCCAACGTTCTATTCCCGTTTTTCAGCCTTGGGTGAATTTTGACTCATTCTATTGTCCAGCCTAGCGTAACCACGCCAGCCCAGGACCTCCACATCCAGCTTCTTCACCTGCGGGATAATCTGAGACCAGTCACCCAGACAGCTGATGAAACTGAGGAGTATTTCTGTAGCTGAGGAGTATTTCTGGGTCTCCCGGCCGCGACCGGGAGACCCATGGGGCGGCGCACAATTGGCCCAGCGTCGTCCAGGGTAGGAGAGGGAATGGCCGGCAGGGGATGTTGGTAGAGCATGGCGTTTGCAACGCCAGGGTTGTGGGTTCGATTCCCACGTGGAGGGGGGGGCAGTATGAAAAAAAATATATATATATATATATATATATATAATGTATATATAAGTCGCTCTGGATAAGAGCGTCTGCTAAATGACTAAAATGTAAATGTAAAATGTCTGTAATAAATCCCTTTTGGGGGAAAACCTATGCCCACCCATGGCTGCGCCCCTGCCCAGTCATGTGAAATTCATAGATTAGGGCCTAATTTATTTATTTCAATTGACTGATTTCCGTATATGAACTGTAACTCAGTAAAATCGTTGAAATTATTGCATGTTGGCATTTATATTTTTGTTCAGTATATAATGCCTGTATAGCCGCCCACCCACTGCTTGCCTTGAGCTTACGCTGAGGCTGACTCAAGTTGTTGTGACTAGCAGCAACAGTAAGTATCAGTTTCTCAAGTTTGCTAGCTAGCCAGCTGGCTAACCTAGCTATCTATCTAGCTAAGTGCATCGCATACGGGACTTCAAAGAGCTTGCTACATAATTCGGTTTGTCGTGGGTGAAATTATAAAGCATTATCTATAGGACCTCACTGCCAGCAACATCGTTGGCTAAATAATTGGGCTATAACTTTAGCTGAGTTACAATAAAGCCAATGCCCCAACAAAGAGGTTGTAGCTTGCTCAGCCAAACTAAAACGGTAATAAGATATAGGTAAGTGAAAGCATGTAGCTAGTATTAACGTTATAAATGAAAGGTATTCTTACTTTTGAAATGCCAACAAACTAAGAACATAAGCCATTTCGACGATTCCAAAACCATCTTCCTGGTTTCATAAAGAACAGGTAAAAACACAGGAAGTGCAGCAGTAAAACTTGTTCTTGGTTCCGATATCGCAAAACCTCATCAAAATGGGAGCGAAAACATTACATAGAGATAGATAGAGGACTCATCTTTATAGCCATTATAGCCTCTTTGACAGCATGGGCAGCGATAGAAATCTCACCCAGTCAAAGTATGTGAGCAGAGTTGAACCGCTAATGAAGCACCTTCAGGTCCTTTCCAACCACTCCAGCTAAAAACCTTTCTGCCTCACAGGAGAAAAAACTGCAGCTCCTAATTCGCTCCATTCATTAAAATCACAATTTAACCAACACCCATCTATTTTGTGACTACCTGGACCTACCGTTTGGTTTTGAAGTATTGAAACAAAACCATATGATTTGAATGAAAAGTATTTTAATAAACATGAAAAGGTGAATGTAAGAAGAGCTCATCATTTCAAATAGGCTATATGTCATATTAAACTGCATATAAACACTCTAAATAGGTCAGGAGCCAGACAGGCATAGCTGGGGGAAGTAGAGTTTTTGTCCAAGCTTCAGAAGGCGATATTGGTCTGCTAATACAGGACTATTAAAGGCCCAGTGAACTACTTTAGTGAAAAAAATATTGTTTTAAAAAAACAAAACAAAAATAAATATTTTTTAAAAATGTAATGATTTTTCCAGCACCCCTACTTCCCGCGGCTATGTAGACAGGGAGCCTAAAGGAACAAAAATTAATTATTTAGGCTTTATTATTTCAATTATTTCAAGGATATAGCCTACAAAGAAATACATTATGAATCATTTGTAAGTGCGACACAATAGACTGGTAGGGACATTAAGCGCTCAGCATTTAAACAACATTTTACTTACTTAGAATTAAATACAAATTAAACGGAAAATGGCTTTTTAGGCTCAGTCCACGGTGCCTTTGAATTCATTTTTAGAAACACAAGTTTGGCCAGTCTGTGGCTTCAAGCTCATGTGATGGTGCCTGGAGAGCAGGCCAGCAGCGGAGAATATCCTCTCTGCGCTTGTAGAGCCACTGGGGATGCTAAACACCCTTTTGGCCAATCTTGCCAGGCTGGGCAGAGATGCAGTTGTTTTTTTAATTTTTCAATTAGGTAGTCCTAAAGGTTTTTAGGCTAAATAACCCAATCAAAATAGAAAGCTCCTTGAAAGTGGGAATATGCCAGGCCTATTGGGCAGAAAGTATGGCCTACTGTATAAATAATATAACAAAAATGAACGAAACTTTTAAGAGATCTGATTTATAGTTTATAAATACTTTGCTACAATGACACACTTAGTTATCTACCCACCTCGTTCCTTTCTTTTAGCATGTGCACATAGTAAGTAGGCCTACACCATCATGCTTTCGGGATATGTGTCTTTTCAGATTCCACAATGATTTAGTTGTGGACATTACATCACCGCACTCCCTCTCTTGCTCTTGGTCCTCATCTTTGTAAGTCACCTTGATTTTGCACCTGTGTGTTTTATCAGTTTCTTTATGAAAATATTTAGCGTACTCCATGACAGTAACTAAAGCAAGGGGCTATAGCAGCACACAAGTAGTCTACAAATGCATGCTGGGCCGGGCATGCCCTGAGTTCGTGAATTGAGCGCTACTGGAGCGAAATTGGAGCGTACGAGAAGGCCGAGAAACTCAGCGCTCCAGTGAAATTGGGCACGCTCCGCTCCAGCTCCGCTCACATATTCTGCACCCAGTTAACTACTTTAAAATGGTGGAAACCCTCAATGGTGCTGCCCATGCTAAAACTTATTTTTGGCTACTAGAGGCCTCTATCAATCTCTATGAAACAGACACACCTTGATAAAGCAGTTTCTCAGAGGGGATTCATTAATCTCGCCCAGGCGTGTTTTGCACCGGCTGAAAGTTGATCGCATTCGATTTGGAACCGGGTTGCCTCCCGGGCCTGAGCCAGGTGCGGTGCCCCGCTCTGTCCAACGGCAAAGTCTGCTCAAAACAAAAGTGATGTAATTACGCACGTATAGTTAGGATTCTTTGTTTTCCCATGCAAAAGTGATTGCTTTTGATAAAAACGCTTTATCTGCCTTCCCAATGAAAACTAGTTTGAAAATGGTATGTTTCTGGACGACGCACTATGCTGCCTTGTTGACAACATGACAGAGCGGTGCAGATTACTGCTCTATTTGAAAAGGGTGCTCCTCCCGCTCCGCTTTCGCCCAATGACATGAAGGGCCTTTGCCCGATTCAATCCAGCCTGCTTAAAATAACTCCCTCATACATTAAAGTCTCGTTCCCCAGCACATCATCAACTGTGTCATCAACTGACAGATTGCTATAACATATGTGGTTAGCTGATACGTAAAATACCTATCCAGGCGTTTTAAGATCTGGCTGGCATCAGCAACGCCTGGGCAGAGGAACACCCATTAATCAATGGCCGCGTTCGAGCGGATCACCATTGTCAAGTCTTTCAAAGTGTGTTGCATTATGGGGTTAAACATTTTCCAACTTGCGCCTACATGGACTGCATGAAGTTTTGAATGCAGTCGACTGCAAGTTTCTGCAGTTGCTCTTCACCAAAGGTGCTTTCAAGACAACTAGGAACTCCAATTTTTTATTATTATCATGAAGTCAGTGATCTTCAGGTTGGAAAGTTGGAGCTCTAGAAAGATGCCAGAGTTTCCAACTTGGAATTCTGAGTTAGATGACCGTTCAAAACTGTTTTTCCCAGTCGTAGCTCGTTTTTTCCAGAGTTCCCAGTTGTCTTGAATGCACTAAAGTCTGAGATTTCCAAGTTTCCAGTTGTTTTGAACGCAGCACAACTTCATCCTGCAGCCATCACCTGCATTGTGGGAGGCTCTGTCAACCAATCATTAGGGTGTTCTTGTTTGACCCATGCGAATGTGACCAAAGACGTGACTGAAACAGGAACCAACTTCATGTAGGCTCTCTCTCTCAGTACTTGACTGTACAATGAACCAGTGGTGACCCGTCATTCATTTTAGTCATTTAGCAGACGCTCTTATCCAGAGCAACTTACAGTTAGTGAGTGCATACATTATTTTTTTTATACTGGCCCCCCGTGGGAATCGAACCCACAACCCTGGCATGGCAAACGCCATGCTCTACCAACAGCGTCATGCCAGCCAGGATGCCCCTGATGCCCTTGTTTCTTAACAATATCCGGTACAGACAGGGATGACAGGGAGGGTAGCGGTTGTTCTGGCTCAGGTTCAAGGAGACATGCCATTCCACTGAACCTGCCCTGGAGATGGTTCCTTAGCCACTGAAGATACTCCTCTGTGGGCTCTTGGGACAGAGGGTTGTAGTCCTTGGCCAGGTACAGGTCCTCCACTGACTGCACCTGGTTGGGCACGGCTGGCTTCCCGCACTCATATTCCACATCCTTACGGCCGATATTGTGGACTGCCAAAATGGGCTGCATGGTTACACTGATGAGCTCCACGGAAGCATTCACATGTGGTAGAGAATCCCCTGGTCACCTATAGAGACCTGCCAAGAGGAAGGATGTTAAGTGCCACATGCCTTTCAATACATGACTTTGAACACCTTGAAATGCATTGGTTGTAAGAAATGTGCTATATAAGTAAAGTTTGATTTGATTGATGACATTGCAGCTGTAGAATATTTAATAAACTGTCATTTTCACAAGTGCAATTTTTCCCTAAACTTTGAATTGATAACTTGGGATTTTATCACTTGACATATCAATCATATAGTGGGAAGGATCCTATAAATCAAGACTGTGTGAATGCATGAACCCCTCCGAATACATAAATACTGTGCCTTTGAAGATTTGTCTCTGGTCATGCAACTACAATACTGGATACAGGCTGGCTGTCTAAACAAAGTCAATTCTGAATGTCAATACAATTTTTATTCATTCTCATCAATGACAACATTCTAGAACTGAGTTATCACTCATCTAAATCTGGTAATCTGGTTAATGATTATATAATTGATTAAGTGCCTCTTTCCTTGTAGAATGTTGACAGCTGTATAGAAAACATTGTATTGATAAGATGCTCAAACTTAACTTAATAGCTACACTCACCGACACAGGACAAACTTTATCCCTCATGCTGGCCCTGACCAAACCAGTAAATTGCCCCTCACTATAGCTGCATTTCTCCACATGGCCAGACATAGTGGTATTCTCCCCTTTTAACGCTCATCCTTGAAAAATACCGTAAGGTCTGAAATAGACACCTAAGTCGACATCCTGTACAAACACTTATCTAGGCTAAGTAATACAACATTATTTTTGTATCTACTGATCTGTTAACTAGCTAGCTAAAGCGTCGTCAGCGGCTAATTAAGCCAGAGAACGGGGACGGAAGAAGTTCAACACTTTATTCAATTAATTTCAATAGAACACATGGATTCATCATGGATTGGGTACAGGTCTCTGATCGCGCTGGTGAATTGTAGCTGACAGAGTTGGCTAGGGAAGCTGGCAGAAGCTTCCTGCAGGAATTTGTAGTCTTGATGAGGTCTTCTCAGTTGCTAATTAGCGTTTACATTTTTTTAGAGTAAATTGAGACGAATATATTGATAAAACTCACCTTGTCCGAGAGAGAATTACACGGCTATCAAAACGTCACGCCAAGGTAAGCCTACACTTAACAGATACTTAATTTGAAGTGTTTGAAAAATGAATGGTGGAAAGACGATTGGAAACATTTCACCGCTAGGTTTTATGTGTATAATGACGCGACCACTGTGGCGGAGTATTTAAACTGAACGGGTCCGCTCACTCATTGTGCTGCTGCTTCTATGCGATGGTTTCTTTTTCCTGTATTGACGCTTGCTGCTGTTTTCTGATATAGTTTTCTTTGAGAACGCTCACTATCTGTGTTTGAACCTTACCCGTGTCGTTTACATAAATACGTGAGTTTGTATTTTGAGTTTCGTGGTTGCACATTGAGATTCGTGGTTGCAAGTAGGCTTCGCTAATGTGTCATTTAAGCTTGTATTATGTGTTAAATATTTAATGGTAGCAAACTTGTATCTTGACATTTGAATACAATCATAAGATTTGCAAGTATAATTTTATTTTCTGAATTAATACAAGTCCATTTACGAGTATGAATGTTCTGCTGTGAATCAAAAATACACGTGAAGATTTTGAATCTGCACGTGCTTGGAGTTCTGTCACGTTACCAAGAGATAAATACGCTTGTAAAAAGTTTAAGTTTGTAGAAAGATATTCGCAAGTAAAAATGTGATTTGTGCTCTGGGGGCAGGACATTTTACTCCTAACCAATCAGTTCCCTCTGCCAAAACCACAACTACCTAGCCTGTAATGTTTGTTAATAATAATAAATAATAATGCCATTTAGCAGACGCTTTTATCCAAAGCGACTTACAGTCATGCGTGCATACATTTTTTTGTGTATGGGTGGTCCCGGGGATCGAACCCACTACCTTGGCGTTACAAGCGCCGTGCTCTACCAGCTGAGCTACAGAGGACCACCAAATCAAATCAAATCTCAGGAAGTACCTCCCACATTAACAAGAGAGGAGGTAAATTAAACCAAAACGATCTACTTGAAGGTAATCGTCTCTTATCTGTGTTTTATTTTTAATTTGTTTGTGAAAAAGCATGACAGTAGTTTACTTAACATGTCAAATATAATGCTACATTTCAGACGAACTCCAGACCAGCCATTGCATTGACAGCCGATATTGCGATATTGAGCTACATCCCTGCCATTCATCCTAGCTTTAATATTAACTGGCTAGCTTTATCAGGCAGCTTTAGATGCGAGGGGAAAACAAATATATTTGCTAGTTAAGTTGATTTATAAATGCCATTTAGAAAGCTGGCTAAATTAAAACTACTGGGGGAAAGCTAGCTAACTCCCACCATCACTGCTAGCTAATGCAATAGCGGCTGTCAATGCAATGGTTGGTCTGGAGTTTGTCTGAAATGTACCATTGTAGTTCACATGATAAGCAAACTACTGTCATGCCTTTTTACAAATAAAACAAAATCGATTATTACTTTCAAGTAGATCGTTTTGGTTTCATTTACCTCATCCTCTCTTGCTAATGTAGGGAGCTACAACTCTGAGATTTGATTGATGGATCAATCCAGCCAATGGTTAGACGGTTGTGTTTTTGGTAGCGGGAACTGATTGGTCAGGAGTAAAAGGTCCTACCCCCAGAGCGCAAATAACACTATTTTTGATTCACAGCAGAATATTCATACTTGTAAATGGCTTTGAAATCATTCTGAAAATAAATTATACTTGCAAATCTTATTGAATGTATTCAAATGTCAAGTTACAAGTTTGCGACCGTTGTTAAATATTTCACACATCATGATACAAGCTTGCAAAATTTAAATTACACATTTGCGAATCGTACTTGCGACCACGAAATTCAAAAGCCTTCAGCACAGGTAGACTATATTGTAGGTCTAGGTTTTGATTTTCATGTCACTTTCACTGTGCACGTGGTTGTGCTGCAGATGCATCAGCTACTGCTGAGCAATTTTAGTAGGACATTAGGCTATTTAGATAGTAAAGGCGGTTACGTAACGTTTAGTTGCGGTTTTGGGGAGTTTGTTAGTAATACTGCATTTTTTTAATGCTATATGATGGTACACTACATGGGAAAAGGTAGGTGGACACCTGCTCGCCGAACATCTCATTCCAAAATCATGGGCATTAATATGGAGTTGGTCCTCCCCTTAGCTGCTATAACAGCCTCCACTCTTACGTTTTACATTTGAGTCATTTAGCAGACGCTCTTATCCAGATCGACTTAGTTAGTGAGTGCATACATTTTCATACTTCTGGGAAGGCTTTCCATTAGATGTTAAAACATTGCTGCAGGGACTTGCTTCCAGTCAGCCACAAGCACATTAGTGAGGTCGGGCACTGATGTTGGGTTATTAGGCCTGGCTCGCAGTAGGCATTCCAATTCATCCCAAAGGTGTTCGAGATCCACACCGATCTCAACAAACTTTGTGCACGGGGGCATTGTCCAAACTGTTGCCACAAAGTTGGAAGCACAGAATCATCTAGAATGTCATTGTATGCTGTAGCGTTAAGATTTCCCTTCACTGGAACTAAGGGTCCTAGACCGAACCATGAAAAACAGCCCCAGACCATTATTCCTCCTCCACCAAACTTTACAGTTGGCACTATGCAGTCGGGCAGGTAGTGTTCTCCTGGCATCCGCCAAACCAAGATTTGTCCGTCACACTGCGAGATGGTGAAGCGTCATTCATCATGAAGCTCTCAACAAACAGTTATTGTGCTGACGTTGCTTCCAGAGGCAGTTTGGAACTCTGTAGTGAGTGTTGCAACTGAAGACAGACGATTTTTACGCGCTTCAGTACTCGGCGGTCCTGTTCTGTGAGCTTGTGTGGCCTACCACTTCGCGGTTGAGCCGTTGTTTCTCCTAGACGTTTCCACTTCACAATAACAGCACTTACAGTTGACCAGGGCAGAAATTTGACAAACTGACTTGTTGGAAAGGTGGCATCCTATGACGGTGCCATGTTGAAAGTCACTGAGCTCTTCAGTATGGGCCTTTCTACTGCCAATGTTTGTCTATGGAGATTGTATTGCTGTGTGCTTTATTTTATACGCTTGTCAGCAACGGGTGTGGCTGAAATAGCAGAATCCACTCAATAGCAGAATCCACTCATGTTCATGTAATGTATGTCATGGTTGCTCTTCTCTCTGTACAATGTCTTCTGTTACATAACCATGTATGCCTTTTCTATTCCAATTTCAACAAATGCAGCCTTATCATGCTCTGATAGCAGGTATTCTGTTCATATTGGGCGTCAAGGCCTTTTCTGCATGCTGTCTGCTCAGGAATCCATGTCTGCCTACTCTTCATTGCCTATGGAGAATCAATGAACATGCATATCAAACAGTATCTCCTCTCTCAGTAGCACACTTTTGAGTTCACATTAAGGCAACGGTGTTGGGTTTACATTACGCTTTTCCAGAGGCGGTCCGTATGACGGCTTTACGGGTTCTACAGGCTGAAATACACTTAATGTTCCTTCCCTTTTTATTTTGCATGATCTCTTAAGTTCTTTTTGCATTATGGACTCTCACATGTTAACCGTACTCTCATACACCCCTGAGATGAAATAATTATAATGGAACATCAGTCGTCATCACCAGAACTAACACTGCTTTGTCTTTCATGTTGTGCTGCCTGCGTGCTGAGCACTGGCAGAACCTGGCGAACCTCTGTTCAACATTGATGCTTGCAACCAATGACAAGCTACTGGAACTCATCACGGCTCTGGTTCCTTCGTCAGCGCTGAGGGCTAGCTCTGAGCTGTTGGCTGCCCAATTCTGCATCGGTGCTGCTACTGCTTCTCAATTGATCCCAGCTTCACTCTGATCCTCTGCTGCTACGATGTTGCAATTGATTTATTCTGAGATTGTGAAACCTACATGAGTTCCTGCAGTATTGCTATATGATAATGATTCTGTCAGCCTGCGGTCCAGTAGCTATGTTGCATAAGTAGAATTTCCTCGTACACCAAGATATGTATTTATTATGGATCCCCATTAGCTGCTGCCAAGGGTCCAGCAAAATTAAGGCAGTTATACATTTACAATACATTCATAACAGATTTCGCAACATATTAAGTGTGTGCCCTCAGGCCTCTACTCTACTACCACATATCTATAACACAAAATCCATGTGTGTATAGTGCGTATGTTATTGTGTGTTTGTGTTGCTTCACAGACCCTGCTGTTCCATAAGGTGTATTTTTATCTGTTTTTTAAATTAATTTTAATGATGGCATGAGTTACTTGATGTGGAATAGAGTTCCATGTAGTCATGGCTCTATGTTGTACTGTGCGCCTCCCATAGTCTGTTCTTGACCTGGGGACTGTGAAGAGCCCTCTGGTGGCATGTCTTGTGTGGTATGCATGGGTGTCCGAGCTGTGTGCCAGTAGTTCAAACAGACAGCTCGATGCATTTAACATGTCAATACCTCTCTCAAATACAAGTAGTGATGAAGTCAATCTCTCCTCCACTTTGAGCCAGGAGAGATTGACATGCATATTATTAATGTTAGCTCTCTGTGTACATCCAAGGGCCAGGCATGCTGCCCTGTTCTGAGCCAATTGCAATTTTCCTAAGTCCCTCTTTGTGGCACCTGACCACACGACTGAACAGTAGTCCAGGTGCGACAAAACTAGGGCCTGTAGGACCTGTCTCGTTGATAGTGCTGTTAAGAATGCAGAGCAGCGCTTTATTTTAGACAGACTTCTCCCCATCCTAGCTACTGTTGTATCAATATGTTTTGACCATAACAGTTTACAATCTAGGGTTACTCCAAGCAATTTAGTCTCCTCAACTTGCTCAATTACCACATTATTCATTACAAGATTCAGTTGAGGTTTAGGGTTTAGTAAATTATTTGTCCCAAATACAATTATTTTAACTAACTTATTCCTTGCCACCCATTCTGAAACTAACTGCAGCTCTTTGTTAAGTGTTGCTGTCATTTCAGTCGCTGTGGTAGCTGACGTGTATAGTGTTGAGTCATCTGCATACATAAACACACTGGCTTTACTCAAAGCCTGGCATGTCGTTAGTAAAGATTGAAAAGAAGTAAGGGGCCCTGGGGAATTCCTGATTCTCCCTGGATTTTGTTGGAGAGGCTTCCATTAAAGAACACCCTCTGTGTTCTGTTAGACAGGTAACTCTTTATCCACAATATAGCAGCGGGTGTAAAGCCATAACACAAGTTTTTCCAGCAACAGACTATGATCGATAATGTCAAAAGCCGCACTGAAGTCTAACAAAACAGCCCCCACAATCTTTTACAATTTCTCTCAGCCAATCATCAGTCATTTGTGTAAGTGCTGTGCTCGTTGAATGTCCTTCCCTATAAGCGTGCTGAAAGTCTGTTGTCAATTTGTTTACTGTAAAATAGCATTTTATCTGGTCAAACACAATTTTTTCCAAAAGTTTACCAAGGGTTGATAACAGGCTGATTCATCAGCTATTTGAGCCAGTTAAGGGGGCTTTGCTATTCTTAGGTAGGGGAATAACCTTTGCTTCCCTCCAGGCCTGAGGGCACACACTTTCTAGTAGGCTTAAATTGAAGATATGGCAAATAGGAGGGGCAATATCGTCCACTATTATCCTCAGTAATTTTCCATCCAAGTTGTCAGACCACGGTGGCTTGTCATTGTTGATCGACAATAATAATTTTCCACACTTACCTTACGGAATTCAAAATTACAATGCTTGTCTTTCATAATTTGGTCAGATATACTTGGATGTGTAGTGTCAGCATTTGTTGCTGGCATGTCATGCCAAAGTTTGTAATCTTGCCAATGAAAAATCATTAAAGTAGTTGGCAATATCAGTGGGTTTTGTGATGAATGAGCCATCTGATTCAATGAATGATGGAGCGGAGTTTGCCTTTTTGCCCAAAATTTCATTTAAGGTGCTCCAAAGCTTTTTACTATCATTCTTTGTCATTTGTCTTTGTTTCATAGTGTAGTTTCAAATTCTTTTTATTCAGTTTAGTCACATGATTTCTCAATTTGCAGTACGTTTGCCAATCGGTTGTACAGCCAGACCTATTTGCCATCTCTTTTGCCTCATCCCTCTCAACCATACAACTTTTCAATTCCTCATCAATCCACAGGGATTTCACAGTTTTTACAGTCATTTTCTTAATGGGTGCATGCTTATTAGTAACTGGGATAAGTAATTTCATAAATGTGTGAAGTGCAGTGTCTGGTTGCTCGTCATTACACACCAGACCAACAAATATTCTTCACATCAACAACATAGGAATCACTACAAAACTTATTGTATGACCTGTTATACACAATATTAGGCCCAGACTTTGGAACTTTGGTTTTCCTAGATATGGCTACTATATTGTGATCACTACATCCAATGGATTTGGATACTGCTTTCAAACAAATTTCTGCAGCATTAGTAAAGATATGATCAATACATGTTGATGATTTAATTCCTGTACTGTTTGTAACTACCCTGGTAGGTTGATTGATAACCTGAATCAGGTTGCAGGCACTAGTTACAGTTTGAAGCTTTCTCTTGAGTGGGCAGCCTGATGAAAGCCAGTCAATATTTAAATCACCCAGAAAGTATACCTCTCTATTGATATCACATATATTATCAAGCATTTCACACGTTATCCAGATACTGACTGTTAGCACTTGATGGTCCATAGCAGCTTCCCACTAGAATGGGCTTTAGGGGAGGCAGGTGAACCTGTAGCCATATTACTTCAACAGTATTTAACATGAGATCCTCTCTAAGCTTTACAGGAATGTGGTTCTGAATATAGACCGCAACACCGCCCCCATTGGCATTTCTGTATTTTCTGTAAATGTTATAACATTGTATTGCTACCACTGTATCATCAAATGTATTATCTAAGTGAGTTTCAGAGATTGTCAGAATATGAATGTCATCTGTTACTAGCAAATTATTGATTTCATG